ATGCAGCGGATGGCCACTACTGCAACTATTTGAAGTTGCCCAGGTAACGTTGCCAGAATGCACAAACTGCTGCGTGCATTTGTTCAGAAGGTGCGGCGAATTGGACATGGCTAAGCGTGCGTGCAGAGGGTCATGGTGTTTGCGCAGGCTGGTGGCCCATGCCCAGCTCCTTGGGCGAGCACCTGAGAACCCTTTCGGAAGAAGGTGTTGCGTTAGACGTGTGCATGTTGGGAGCCTGTTATGGGTCGCTGGAGCTGAAAACAACATGCTAACGCATTAACAACACAAGAGCAGAGCACTTTGTGTTTTCTCAGCTCTCACTGGTCACGGGTCAGTCGTTTGCAATGTCCTATACATGCCAGCAGAGGCGTCGCATCTTCTTGTGTGAATAGTGAAGGATGTGTTTTTCTTCGGCCAAGTCCACCCCGAAGCACACCCCAAACTCTAAAACGCTAAACCGTCCAAACCTAAAATCGCGACCTAGCCCTGCACTTTTCCCAACCTACAAAAACCTTTGACACCCGGCTCCCACTGCAGCCCCAGGAGTACATGAGCCAAAAGGAGGCCGGCTCGGGCGAAAGCTTTCCTCCACAGGGTGTGTCCTGTAGTCTGTCAGCCCTCATTCATCAGTAACCCTACTCGTACAAGTGGTTGCAGGCAGAACTCTGGGCTGCATGCAAGGGGGCCAGCCGCTTCAAGGCATTTCAGCACTTTTCCCACCCTTCTCATACACGATCCATCTCCGGCAGCAGATGTTATGATAACAAAAGCCCGCACATTTCCTTGCGTCCTGAAACCATGAACAGGTGCTCCATGCTCCTCCAGTGTGAAGCGCTGAAGCCAATCAAGGCTCACGCCTGGCTCTTTCTTGCTAGGTTGAGCTGTCGTAGGAATCAAAGGACATTCCCTCAAAAATGTGGTTGCAGCATGCTGCAGCCTTTCGAAGAACAGCCTTGAACGTTGACGGGTCGGTCCAAGTTTGCCGTTAAAGAGGCTGGCTCACAAGAAGCCGGTCAAGGACAACGAATCAATGTCATATCGTATCATATGCATATACATAAACATCATACGCAGCCAACAAATGCACACATCACGGGCACATCACTGCTTCGTGAACTTCTGGTATGCACAGACAGCACATATACAATTTTCATGTAATTGCTTCTATATCTGCTGCTGGAGATGGACTGCACATGACAGCGCATCCCCCTCCGTTTCAACGGCAACCAGAAACACCAGCTTGGCTGTTTGCCAGCTTGGCTGTTTCAGTGGGTTTTTCAACTCATACTACTCACCAGCCGTCCAGGACTACCGAATACGAACCTTTTGCTGTCGGGCCAGTGTTCTCCCAGGCAAAAGTCCCTCCAGTAAATGCTGCAATGTAGCTGCGGTTGCCTGCTTACCGACTGCTCGCTCGAACACCAGTGAATTCAAAACATGAATTCGCCACTGGTTGAGACCAGGTCTTTTTTAACAGACAGCAAATGGAACGACTGTTTCACCCCTCGACGAACAAAAACATAAAGCGCTCCAGTTCTTCGTGATATGGCCTGAGTTGTTGTAGAGCCAGTGGTATGACTCCTTGTTTCCGCAGTTGGGCTTTGCTATACCGTTGCCTGCACGTTGATTAGTCCGGGCCTAAAGTGTAGCTAATCCGCACTATTTTTCCCTTTCACCTTGGAGGCCTTACCCCGCCGAAGTCGCTTTTTGGAGTGTCCGCTGCTTTGTCGCGCCATGGATTGGCTCCCAAGCTTCCTGAGCGGGCCGCACGCTCAGCTTCTAAACCAGAGTGCAGCAAGCTGGCGTGCTATGGTTTGTGGCGATGAGAGTTGAAAACTTCCCTGGGTACTACCTACATTCTTCAACCGATCATTGGTCGGTCGTTCTGCCTACAACTGTCACTTGATTGCCAATCTTTCAACAGGCTGTGCCCGTGCATCAGAAGAGAGAAGCCAGTGCTGAGCCCAGCGTGCCGAAGCGTTCTCGTGCTTTCTCGCAGAATGAAGAAACGGACTTTAAAGACAGAAAAACATTCTGGGCGCTTGCGCAGGGACTTATCAGCAGTATAGGGATTCATTCCGCCGGTTCCGAAAAAACACTAGGGAGCTAAGTGTGACTGGCACCTATGCCATCCTGCCCGCAACCCCTTGCGAGGTGGAGACAACTTTGACCATTCAAGCCCAAGCTGAGTACGGAGCCCAATTCACAGTCAAGATCCGTGACCGCGCTCTGGGCAACAGCTGTTGAAAGCTGCGGCTCCCTCAATGCATATACGTCTGTTCTTTACAGGGGAATGCTGTGGCTAACTCAGTGAAAGTCGAGTTACTCGCACCACTCTCGCAGAACCAGCCAGCAAGCAGACAACACTTAAACTGCAGTGAGGGCAATCAAGCAATAAGCCACTTGACCTTCAACGCCGGCCGGGCATCGTACAAATTGTGGGAAAGTTGGTTCCCCAAGCAACAGGTTGACATGCTGCTTATTGGAGGCCTTGAGGGGATCACGAGATGACCGCGCCAAGCAAGTTTTCATCGGGCTGAACAGCGGCGTTAGTCAGACAACGCCGGGCTTAGTCGGTAAGTCTTTCCGGTAAACGACACGGCTGAGTTTGAACACGACAACGCACCAGTCAAAAGAAAACGGGTTCCGAAAACAACAGCCTCAGTAGTAACACCTGCTAACATTTTTTAAACTCCGCACGCTTTTGGACCACTTTGTCCTGCTCGGCCGTGGAAGCCCCCAAGCTCAAGGTGTACATGTCGAATTTGGCCCGCTTTGTTTTGCTTTGTGTCGCAGAAGTCCCCAAACTCAAAGTCAAATTTGGTTCGCTTTGTTCTGCTGTGTTCCCCGGAAGCCCGCGAAGCGTACGTCACCGACCCGTTTGGTTCTGCTCTGTCGCAGGCTCAGAGTGTGCATGTCAAATTGGGCCTGCTTTGGTCACTTGGTTCTGCTCTGTGTCGCGGAAGCCCCCCAAAGTGACATGCTGAGATTGGCCCGCTTTGTCCTGAAATCCAAAGATCAGAGCGTTAAAGTCATGTCTTTTTGGTGTGCCGCGTGCATTCTCTGACTCAGTCCTTGCGTTTTTCGATGGGAGCTGGACGTTTTTTCTGACTCAGCCCTCCCCTACTCAGGCACTTGGGCATGAACCTGCAGCACAGCGACCTGCTGTGGATCGCGGAAGAGGACGTGCTTAAACTCTTAAACGGCCGGCTTTGCAAGCCCAATCCACCCGCCGCCAGTCGCTTGCAGCACCACCGTCGCAGCATTGCATGGATTCCTTTCACAAGAAGATGTGCCCTGGGTGCTGCCAAAATGGCTCTTACCATTCCACGGTTTAATTCTCTTGGGTTGCGCTACGCAGCAGATCATCTTGTTTTTATTGGCCAGGATTGCGGGCTGTTTTGTTTCAGCTTACGGGGTGTTCTTTGCTGAATTCGCACAGGTGTTCAATGCGTTCCTGTGTTGTTAAAAAGCGGAGCTTCAAACTGGCCAGAAACCCTGCTGCCAAGGGCACATCAGACCTGTGTGAGGTATGATTTGGTCGTGTACTTTCGTGCTTCTTCACCAGAGGCCGGTTTAGCCGCATCTAGCAACATCACGTTGAAGGCCAGTCTTCGGCAACTGCGCAGGATCAGATGAAAATTCTGAACCAAACCGCAGAGAAGGAGTCCCAGAGTTTATGCGAGCTCCAGGCTGGATTGGGCGTATCTGGGCGCAGCAAGCACCGGTGAGCAGTGAGAACATGCGAGAAGCGCTTAGGGAATGTTAGGGGGTTCTAGGCCTGGTCGCCAATGCCTTCGGGCTTGTACCGCAACAGCGTCAGACGCGTGACTGCTTGGGCCTTGTTGGGCGATCTGCCAGCGGCAGTGCTTTGCATTTTACCTGCTACGTGCACGGAGCATGGTGATGCCACATGTGAGGTTGCTGGAGACCCGCGTCCTTCCCACCTGCATTCATGCAAATTGATGTCTCGAGTGCTCGAAATCATGCAGGCGCAGCAGAGAATTGCAAGTTTTTGAAGTCCTTGTTTGGTTTCTAGGGGCTTGCTTGTCTAAAGGACGATGTCAACCGGCTGCCCCGTCGCCAACTGCCAGATGTAAAGGACATCTTGCACAGGCAGGCTGACAGACGCACAGCTGGATGGCAACGCTGCTTGCTTCCCCCGCCCCAACCGCTTGGCGCCAGGTTTGATCGCCCCGCCGACGTTCAGCAGACTGCAAGACGCGTAACGCCCCAAGTTGGTCGGCACGCATGCAGATCGCGAACCAATAGCTTTTACACGGATTAAATCAACGGAGGGCAAATCATGGTGGATTGTTTTATACCAGATGATTATCTGAGGATGGTGTGGGTGTTGTGGTTTGACCATCCCAAGATGTCACTAGGCCTTATCAATGTTGTGACTCAGGCGTCCCGTCGATCACTACCAGATGTGAAGGATGTCCTGCAGAGGCCCCACCCCCCCTAGAAATTCACAGGGGCAAGTTGAACCTGCTTCCGTCTGCTTCGCGTTCCCCCGGCCGCTTAGTGCCAGGTTTGATCGTCCTGGAACATTGCCAAAGCCCAAGTAAAATCTGTTCTTCAGATGGATTCTCCTATTGCACACATGATTCAGCAGTTTATCAGCACATTTTGGCTCAAGCCGTTGCCGCGATCGTGATGACGCGCTCGAGCAGCTTATGCGTGCACTACCGCCGTGGACAGTGTTGGTCACGCGCCTGCAGTATTCAGCAGCTCAGCGAATGCCAAGCGAACCCAGAGCTCAAGCTCCGCACATCAGTGAGGTTCGGCGACACCTGTTGGTTCTCTCACGAGGCCAAAGTTTTGCCCTTCGCTTGAAGCCTGTTGGATCCGTGTTTCGCCAGAGTTGGAGGCATCAGCTGTCAGTGCACCTGCGCCCCGACCAAGCAAACCACCATGAATGCAGGGGTGGGTTGCCAGTGGGCTTGCAGACGTTTGGATATTGAATTGATACTGCAAGGCGAGGTGCCCTGCCGGAGATGGCAACGGGGCGGCTGCCGGCTGCTCTTTTGCAAATCATGCAGGTCGGCTGACCTCTTTCCTTCGGTTTCATGGCTTTTCAAGGTTTGGGCGCTGGTGCAAATACGCCCACGAGGCAGAAGTGCGGCACGTAACATCAGCATTCAGGATTTGCAAGCTTGATTGTTTCTGGAGGCTGGCCCTCTAATTCCCCAAAGCTGCCACGACCGTTCGACCCATCAGAGGCATCAGCAGGCCTGGTTGCTTGGTGATGCGCTTTAGTTGTGCAGCCATGGATGGTTGCAAACGGTTCCCTTCAATACTGACCCCAAACGGATGTTGTGTGCCACGTGTGTACAAGTGCTTCTGAGTTGTTTTGCGTTGACGTTGAACTGACCTCAGCCGGATGCAGGAGAGGGTGAAGCAAGAGATGCCACTGCAAGGGCAATTCGCCGAAGCCCCGGGCTGTAGTTGTGTAGGTGTCTGAGTCTGGGCATTATACTGAAGTACGGTCCCGGACGATACCAGAAGTCCCCCGCCCCCGCTTGGCCCGCACCAAGCTTAGAACCATCCCCTCCTTTGGCCACCCCTTCCCCGTCGACCCCCTGCCGGCGCTTCTGCGCTGACTTGAGAACAAGAAAGCCTGAAGCCTGTCGTCCTGGCCGTGCTTTGCCGCTGCAGTGGCGGCAGGTTCCGGCCGCGGGGTCGTGTAGCCATAAAATTCGAGATGGAGAGGGGTTCGAGCACGCAATGGAATGTACTGGTATGTTTTTCCCCCACACTGGAGGTTTGAGTGCAAGCGCATTCAAAGAGGGTTCGAGATTCCAGTTGGGCGCTTCACGGCTGCTGTGAGCGCCAAGAACGGAACAGCGACGAAATGCAACGAAACAAAATGTCGGCGAAGTTGTTATGAAACACCAACATGCAGTATGCCTGTCCACCGGCAAGAACGCCTGTCCACCGGCAAGAACAGCTCCGTAGCTCGGCAGATTCCGGCGCTGCGCGTCCTCTCTGGTCGTTGGTGTCAGAGTCTGGTGCTTGTTGTGTCAACGAGAGATGCCGTACAATTGGAAGCGGGAAGGCAATCTTGCACTTCATCAAGTCGGCCAGGCCACACACGTAGATGTGGTTTGTGCTTCTTCATTGCAATGTACGTCCGCACAGCTCTGAACGCACATGTTCGTGCTGTTGGTGAGGTCCCGCGTTCTACAGCGCGTTCCCCGCGGGACCAGGCTGGATGGGAGCTGGGTGCTTTCGAATTCCCATGATTGGAAATTTTCCTGGCCCAGGGGAGCGGATTGTTGTATCATTCTTTGCACCTCGAACTCGTCGTTCAGAAAACAACTTAATCCAAATGGAATGCAGCACAGAGCCCGAGTGTGATTCCAATCTGGAGAATGCCCCAACCAAGCGTTGTGTGAGGCCCGGCTTGAGGTGGCGGCGCCAATTCCAGTTGCTTGCCTTAAGTCCAGTCGGGGTTTGGTGCTCCTGCTTGCTCACCAGTAGTGACGAGGAGTTGTGTTCATCTGAGGCCAATGTGCTTTAGCTTAGGGAAGCAACCAGAATCCAGAATGTAAGTTGCGTGCCTTTGATCAACGTTTGTAGTTGCCGGCGTGTTTCACGGCATTGCCATGGGTATGTATTCAAGGACTTTTTCGACACGATCGAGGAGGAGAGAGTTGACGTGGCGCCACCAGTTGCAGTTGCTTTCCTTCGATCGATTTCCGTGTGGCCTGTTAGTTGATTGTTTTTTTTGCTATGTTCAGCGTTGCCATGTGCATGAATGCAAGGACTTGTCCCAAACCATGAGCGAGGAGGACAACACCAGCTTCTTTTCCAGAAACTCGTGTCCGAACCAGTGAGGGTGCAGGTGGAATTGAAGCCATGCTTGTGCTTGTGTTTCACCTTGAGAAGCGGTGTCAGCGGGAATGGCGACGAGCTGGCGCAGCATTGACATGGATGCAGACTAACACTAGTGGCATTGCGGTACGAATGAGCACGCTTCTTAAGATGCCCAGCGGCGGGCCTCTGGTACACTGTGAAGCACCTGACACCGGCCAAGCTTAACAAACCGGGTGATCCTCAACATCGCACGTGCTTGATTTGGTGCGACTTCACAGGGAGTAGACACATTGGCTTGCGACCACGCCACGTGTGGTGGCCATGTTCGTGTTGGACGCAAAGACATGTGTTGTTTCCAGCATGCCGGCGCCCTTTGGACAACCACACTTCTTGGTAGCACGTCGCTGGGGACGCCCAGTACATGCGTGGCTGCGAAGCCAGCAGGGTGCCAGTGTACAGGCTCAGTGATGTAGGGAGTTCACTCTTGGGGTAGCCTGTAGTTTGCAACACTTCCCAAGCGACCCGCAAACGTTTGGCGGAAGCCCTCGGCCGTTGTGAGACTCGCCTTTCGGAGGTGTCGCAAGGTCCAGCGTGCATGTTGTGACGCATGCGTGGCGAAAAAGGTGACGGATTTCTTTGCCAAGTGCCCTTCAATCCGACTCTCTTCTGCCTGAGAACATGCCTAGCCTCTCTTCTCATTACCTTGATGAGAGAAGGGTTGGGGCTGCTGAGTCCACGGCAGCTTGTACAGCTCAATGACGGTAGAGAGATCCGAGGACTCGGTGATGTTTGTGACTTGGTGGGCGGACGCACTCACCTCAGTTCCAATTGGCGCTTCAATCTTTGGTTTTTGGTGATCCAGACAATTTGATGTTGAGATCTGCAGCCTCACTGAATGAGGATCTTGGAGGTGGTTTCATGTGATGGTGCGGCACTTACAAATTCCAAGAGCATTGCACGAAGTGACGTGGGGTGTCGCTTGCCGCGTGCCATAGGTACTCAGATGCTGCCGTTTCGAAACGTGAACGTCCCGCTCACACACGTGATAATTCTTCTGCGGACACCCATGCCTCCCCCAGTACGCGAAAGAGCTCTTGAAGACCGAGTACGCATCAGGCCAGGCAAGGCTTTTCAAAGGCCCCGCCTCTGTCGCGGTGAGTGGCATCTGCTAGTATACGCAGCAGACGGCAGCGGAGAAGAAAAATGTGAGCTGCAATGTCGATGACATCGTACGCCCCGACTGTGTGCAAGTCTGTGTGTAAGTCAAGCATCAAGAGCGACTGCAATCGAGCAGGGGCTTTGTTGTCTGCGTGTGGGTGTGTGTGTGTGTGCAACGTGCTTGCATGTGCTTGCAGGTGCGTGCACACGGGGAACATTGAGTATGCAGCATGCGGGTGAGCGCAGTCTAAACACCATGGCATGGGGGTCCCACGGCAAGCGGCGATAGGACATCGGAGAACTAGCTGGATCTGCAGAGGGTTTACAAAGCATGGACATGACAACTTCTCGCTGAGGTGTAAAGATACAGTGTAATCAAGACTAGCATGTGCAGTGACATGCTATGATTCATGATGTTAGGTAATAAGTTATCATGGTATGGTCAGGGCGGAGCTGAGGGACCGGCACAAGTTGGCATCTGCCGGCCTTGGCGCCTGCCTTGTGCTGCTGTTTGGTCAGAGCTTGCCCGCGTTCGCCAGCCTGGCAAGGCTCTTCTGTGGCCGTTCATGTTGCATTTGTTGACAGTATTTCCCGTGATCTGATCTTCGCTGCCTGGAAGAAACTAGGAACACAGTATCTTAAGAAAAGCTGGGGATTTCAGCATACTTCCCGATCCTTCTCACGTTTTGTCGTGTGTATGAGGGATGCTGTGCATTCATATGCCGCACTTGTTCTCCGCACTGACAGGCTCAGAGCGTTGTGACATGAGCGGCAATTTGGAAAGTAATTTGCGCGAGTAATGGCTGTTTCAATGGATGTTTAGGGTGAATGCTCAGGGTCATGTTTCAGACAAGAATGAGGCCTTGGCAAGCTTGGTTCAGATTAGTGGCATAGGTGTAGTACTTGTACTCGTATGGGCAACAAGACCAGCAAAGATCCAATTCTTGCCCAGGGCGATGCCCAAACGCCCGATGCCGCAAGCCATCGTCTTTGTCACGGGGAACGCGAAAAAGCTGGAGGAGGCCAACAGGGGTGAGAAAGACAAGTAACCATATAGCAACACTTCATAGTATGTCCAACTTTGCTCCGGCAGGTGAAGCACATCTTGTCCTCAGGATCCGAGGAACTTCCTTTCGAGGTCACGTCTCAAAAGGCCGTGCAACCTTTTTGTGAGCACCACTTTCGGCCTCTCAAAAGTCTTCGATTGCCAATGGAACGAATCCTTGGCCAGATTGACCTGCCCGAGCTGCAGGGATCAAGCACGAAGGCGCCCATAGCCGCAACAGCCTCTCTGTACACCCGTTTACAGTCCCTTCTGTGGTTCTGTGATTCCATGAAATATGCCAGGAGATCGCCGTGGAAAAGTGTCGTCTCGCTGCGGCCGCTCACCTCGTGACTGTGAAAGTCTAGGTCGCAGTGGATGCCATAGAAAGTGTTATGTTGAGCTTCAAGATGCTGTGAGCGGTGCTAACACTTCAACACTGTGTCGCAGTGCCCCTTACTTTTTGTCGGACACCAGTGGACCACGGCACTGTGCCCACGAGCCCTTGTTTGAGGACCACGTGAAAGGGCCCGTGATGTGTGAGGACACCTCGCTGTGTTACCACGCCCTCAAGGACCTGCCAGGCGGGCTGTGGCGAAGACATTTTGGCAAGTGTGGTGCCAGATGCCAATCAGGTCCATATATCAAGTGGTTCCTCGAGAAGTTGGGCCACGAAGGGCTGAACAAGCTTCTTGCGGGATACGAGGCTGGGCTCCCGTGATATGCCACCGATGCCCTGAAGTGTAGTATCATTGATCATGTGTTTCGCTGCGGACGGATGTGCTTTATGGTCTGAACACGCCCCTTTTCTTGGCCGGAGTTAGCACGTGTGAGGACAAGTCGGCCTACGTGACTCCTCCGCAGAGCGGCCACACTGTTTGAGACAATTCGGACTTTTCGATATTTTGCGGAGAGCCCTCGGAGACAGCCTCGTGACCCCTTTTGTATATTCGCTCTTGAGACATCTTGAGGCTCATTTTGAGACCCTTTCCAAGGCGCAGTGCCTCTTCACGCTCTGCGCTGGGCCCGGCAAGGAGGTGCGTGTCTTCGATGGCCGCACGGAGGGGAAGATTGTGGAGGCCCGCGGCCCCAAGGACAGGCTTTTCCAACTCTCAAAGTTGTTAAAATGACAAAGGACTTAGACTCTTAGGACGACAAAATTTGCAGCGCCGGACCTTTGGGCTGGAGAGGCCCTGTGGAGCGAAGAGGAGCTGCAGTTGACAAGTTGACGCGAGCTGTTACAGGACTTTGGCTGGGATCCGGTTTTCGAGCCTACAGAGGGCGAGGGAAAGACCTTTGCTGAGATGACGACGCTCGGCTCAGTACAAACATCCACCGAGCTGACCAGCCATCAGCCTAAACTTGGGGTTTCTGTTGTCGTGAGTCAGCTACTGTTCTGCACAGGAAGGAGGCAAAGAATGCCATTTCCCATCGTGGCCGAGCATTGCAAGAGCTACGCACCTGGCTTATCGCGAATGCCGCGACCTGGCTCGCATTGAAGCATTGGGAGGGGCTAAATCGATGTTCGACTCAGTGATTTTTTAGCTGGGGGAACCGAGAGCCAAGTTGGGCACCGCCCGAGGCATCCTTCGAAGAGGAAGCCAAGTGACGTGAACTTATTGGCACGTCCTCAGTGCAGCAGTCCGGGTGTGGCGGTCGTATCGGAAAGGGAACAAAAAGACAGAATCCTTCCTGCGCACATGTAGAGTTGTTTGCATGTTTTGTCCATGTTTTCAATGCCTTCTCCAATTTCGCGGATTTGGGGAGTCGGGAGTCGGGAGTCGGGAGGTCGCTTCTCTTCTTCCGCGGATGTGAGGTGTCGAAGGTCGCTTCGCTTCTTTTTCAGCAGGTCTGTACCGTGCAGGGTGCACTGTTCGCCACTTCCGGTTCCCTTCGGCTCACAAGCTCTGGGGGGGGATGCCAGGGGCGCGCCTCCGTCCCATCCTGGAACTTGGGAGAAGGGAAGCTCAGAGGCCGCAGAAGCGGCCCCGGGTCCTCTGCTGGCTGCCCAGCTCTCCTTTGCTGGCCGGTGTTGTGGTTCGTTTTTTGCAGCTCTGTGCTTTCTGATGCGTTATAGGAGAGGGCGCCCCTGCGCTGAGTGAGGCCGATGAGGTCGCGCTGGCGGCCAGCGAGGCATCGAATTGTTGCAACCATGCAACAATCATGCAACAATCCTGCTCTCTCGCTCTGCTCTTGTGCGCTTGTATCTGTGCTTTTGTGCATTTTGTGCCTTTTTGGGCATTTTGTGCATTTTGTGCTGAGGCTGTAAGATGGTGGCAGCTTCGGCAGACCCTGTTCCACAGCTGCTTCACGGGTCGGGGGCTGACTGCAGAGAGCGTACAGGAGCTTACAATGTTGCAAGGAACTGTCGGCTCAGGCATTGGCTGGACTCGATCGGGCACTCCATCATTGTGAGCTGCCCAGATGCTGATGGTTGCCGATCCCATTCTGAGCCAATGCTGTGTCATAGCCGATGGCACAGACCAAGCAGCGACGAGCAACTGTTGAGACAGGTCAGCAAGACTCCTGACGAGGCGGGCTGCTAGAGCTGCGTGCCCGGGCGTGACGTTTGCCTGTTGTATTTGAGCATGTAGAGATTTGGTGAGGCACAGGTCGTTTGTGTCGCAGCCCTGATGCGAAGGACTTGATCTTCACCGCAGTGCTCACGCCTCTTGTGGACCATCCCGATGCAAGAGACCGTGTCCTGCGGATCGACAGGACGCCAAGCCACGCAGCCCGAGCGGGGTAAAGTTCTTCTGGGGACGAAAGTGGCACTGGTGACAGTCTGACATCAAATATGAGGATCTTGAAACAGACTTAAGAGAAGACATGGCGAGCTTCGCGAGGCCTCAGGAGAGCTGGAAGTGGCGCTGTGGGAACGCCAGCCTAGAGCTCGCCGATGCTTGGTTTATGCTTGGTTTATGGAGGTTCAGTGGTTCATGATTTTCATACCTTAATGGTGATTCTGGTTCGACCCACGTGCCTGAAGCGCCCAACAACCGCGGCCCTTGAAACGCTTTCCGAGGATGAGCAGAACCAAAGGCTCGTATGGATCACCGAGGCGCTGCGGGCGATCGGGAGATTGGGCGATTAGGCGATTAAACGCCACGAAGCACACCGGTAGTGCTGCAGGCGAAGCCAGTGATCTACAGCTTTAGGGACAGCAGTTTTTGGCCAACTTGAGCCGATCTTTCGGCAATTGCTGTAACCCGAAGCCGTTTTTTGCAGAGGACGGCCGGCGCAACGTCTGGTCCAGGACAAAGGAGCTCTCGGCGCAGCTCTCGGCGGGGTCCAGGAGCGATGAACGAGCAAAATTCGCTTAAGAGATGTGAGAGTTTTTTTGTTAAAGCGAGTTTCTGTGGGGTTTGAGAGTTCTTCTGATCCATGCGCCGCGCTATGGCCGTTGTTGCCCATGCCTGAAGCTCCTCACATCGCGAGCTAGAAGCTGCAGGTCTAGATGTTGGCAAAGATCCGAGACACACATGGGGTTGAGGGATGTTGAGGGTGTTGTAGAGCAGAAGTGCATTTCCGCATCCAGGAGTGGGGAGAGAGAGCTGGCGGAGGATAGCGACAAAGACACCGACAGGTGAGCCCTCAGATTTCGTGGAGTTGGGGTTAAACATGTCGGAGACTTGAACTTACCCTTGCCTCTCAGCGACTTTGGGGGGGAGGGAGGAAGGGAACAAAGGGTTTTGCACCGGCTTCTGAGCGAGATTCTGACCATGCCATTCACGCATGTCCACCCTCATCTCGTGGATCGAACCGTTTTCCGCCAGCACCAAGCCATGATCAGAAGCCCCCCCCCATCTTTCCCAAACCATAAGGGAAACCGGGCGAAACCCTGCAGTTCAGAATCCTCAGCTCTGCTCAGTATCGCTTTTCCTTGGCTGCTGAACAACTCCGCACCCGAGCCCTGGCTTCCACTGGCCGGCGGCCTAGAATGGGGTTAGCATGAAGGACCACAGGAATGACCTGGATTGCACTGCTTAGGATTGCTTCGGCTTTGAGGCGCTTAGGGTTTGGATGGTTATTCACAGATCTACAAGATTTGCAGGGATGCGTTCGGTGCATTGGAGCTAGTTACTTCATGCCCTCTAGATTGCTAGATTGTGAATCAATGCCCAGTTCCCTGAGGCCGGCATTCAAACCCTCACAGGACCATCTCTTGTCCGCCTTGTCAGGAAATCCTCAAAAGATCCCCAGAAAGACAGGTGGTTCGTGTTCCTCTGGTGGGCCTTTTTCGAGTGGTCACACTCGACACACTCATCCGTTGAGCCCTAGGCCTAAAACTTTTCCGAAGGGCGTTCGATGCAGCCGCTTCGGGTCCCAAGTTGAACCCTGAAGTGCACGGAAAGGGGGAGACGAATGCGGACAGGGACGATGGGTGGCTAAACGATGCACGCGATGTAAGCCGCAAGCCCGCACTCCCAGGATGTTCCCCGAGACATCCTCTATGACGGAGCACGCCGGGGAGCTCAGCACGGCCAAAGTCATCCATCCGGGCACCCGAGTGTGTCTTAATGTGTTGTAGATGTTTTGCTCGTCGTAGTGCTATGGGCATTGAACTCACTGCTCGGCCGAGGAGTAGCAGCCCTGCTGGATATCAGGCAGATGATCGGTGCACGGAGCGAGCCACAGGACAGAACTTCAAACCCTCACTGCAGCTCCAGGTCATTAGCTCAGTACACACCAGTTTGGAGGGCCACGGAAGCTCCGTTAAGGACTCCTAGACCCCAAGCATGTAGGCATGTGTCAAGAGTGGTGTCTGCGGTGTCTGACAGAAACCCACTTGGGCTGTTAACCGTGACTCCTCGCATAGACACGGGTGGCAAGGTCAAGGTGCCAGCTGTGTGTCGAGTGCAACATGTAGCTACGCAGCTCACATACAGCAGAGCATGGAGGCGATGCTCTGAAACTCGTTCTGATCGTGCAGAACGGCGTCAAACTATGCGAAGTGGGTGAGCAGTGCTCTTCAGCTGGCTGTAGCGCAGGTTCCTTTTGAGGATGTAATTCCGAGATATTATTTGAGGCACTGCTCGCAAATATTTTTCCACAGGCCACAGGACCATAAAAGGAGCGAAGGCCAGTACAAGTAAGACTGAGAGAACGAGGTCTCCCAACCGTTTTTGCAATGCTCGAGGAGCGCCTCACGCACATCTTGATGGACCACGACTTGCACCCCACGCGCCCGAGATCTTAGACTGGTGGGTTCTTACAGGCTTATGGCTTATACAGGCTTCAGGGACGTGCCCATCCCCACTCCTCTCTCGGACCTCATGCTGAAGCCCGGACTCTTGTAAGGCCAGGGTGGCGACTACCTGATTCCAGGGGTCGACTCGCCCCTGTGGAAGACGCTGGACGTGTCCGAGCCCATGCGCCGCAGTTCCCTGACCGGCATTTCAGTCACAAGCCAAACAGCCCAGTCTGAAAAAACATGCTTGTGTCCAACTGTTCATCTTAGGCTAGCTGTAGGCTGCTGTGAAGCAGGCTTATGTCTGGCAGCTGTAGCCAGGATGCCGTGTAGGTTACAAGCGAGATAGGAAGAAGAAAGAGTGCGCAAGAAGGCCCACTAAAAAGTAATTAAAAAAAGGCCTTTCTGTACGCTACAACTTTAATGTAATTATCCTCATATCTCCCCTGTTTTTTATCTTTCTTTATTACGCGGGTTTCCTTGCCACGCTTGAATCAGACCCGAGGCGACCCATGTGCCGAGACCCAAAGGTGCCACGAAGTTGAACCGCGCCGGCCGTGCAGGGAATGTGGGCACGTATCCAAGACCAAGAGAAGCGCGAGCGTGTCTCTTTGAACTCGCCCGAGAAAACGAACACAAGTTCACAGACCGGCTTGGTAGTTTGAAGAGCACCAAGCGAACTTTGTGTCGCCAGCACGGGACAGTCGTGGACGAAGTCCTGCAATCGTTTCACAGGGAAAGGAGAACAGCTGAACTACCCCTTGCGCGCTGATGGCCGACAGCATGACTGCAGACCCAATCCTTGAGGCTTTGGAAACGATATTAGCCTCGTTGCGTGCAAACGTGGACGTGCCAACCGTGGCGACATCCACCGAGTGAGCCCTGCTCGAGACACGGGCACTGGGAGATCCGGAAAGGGCTCCCGCAAACATGGTCCAGGCTAAGGCAAGGCGAAGCCGACGTCGCTGTCGTCAGCTCCGAACGAAGCAGCGAGACTACGCAAACACATCGCAAAGAGTCTTTCAATGGACAAGGCTTGTTTCGGGGGGCCTCTATACAGATTCCTCGGAATTGTCAAGCGCTCCCTACAGAACCGCCCTTATGACCTCCCTCGAGAAGACCCCCAGTTGCGGATGCCTTTGCGAAATTTTCAGATGCATGCAGCACCCAATCGCAAGCGCATGCGTCAAGCAAGGCCGTGTGCCACAGTTTTGTTTCACGCCTGGCATTTGACCTACATAATGACCACGTCTCTGGGGCACAGGTATTGCGCAGAGAATCAGCAGAATACCACACGAGGCGGGTGTCATGCTCTCCAGATCATTGCATGACACTGTGGGGCAGTGTAGGGCTCAGTCTTTGGGTGTAGGATGATCGGGGAGTTGCTTGGGGAGTGCTTGGGCGACCAGGTGCTTTCTCAGCGTGTCAGCTGGAGCGGGAACTCGGAGGTGGTCGCAAGTTTCAAAGTTGTGAGAGATTGTGCCGACCAGACTTGAGAGATCTCTCTGATCGAGATTCTGACTCCGCATGAGGAGTCTGCGCTTTGCAACTACCGAAGATTTTCGGGGGTTCTGTGATGACATGATCCAACGAGGGTTGCTGCGATGTCCAGGTTTGGGTCGGGCGGCACAAAATTTCGTGCCGCTCCCGAGACATCCAGGCATGGACTCTGCTGGCATGTGCGCCAATGTGTGCCGCAGATGAGAGAAAGATAGAGAAAGCATATCGCTGCCAGGCCCTGAATGCCAGATGGGTTCCTCCGTTCCAGGACGAACGGAAACCGCTGGAAATCGCAGGGGCCACAGATCAAGCCCAGATCGTCGGACTCATTCGGATGTGGTGATGTGGCCCCGTTACCATTTGCAACCCGCGCCATTCCCGGCGCCCTGCTTCCACTCCCCCCGGAAACAGTGCGACGGAGACTGCAGCAAATTTTTCATCGCCAGCATGGGCCCTTTCCGCCATCACCCCAAACTGGCGAAGCTGGCCGGACTGCCCAAGAAGAGGCAAGTGGAGATACGTGGAGATCGAAACAGAAGAGCAGGTGGCAATAAACGTAGACTAGCATACCTTTCCCCTCCTGCAGAGAACATAGGTATTGGAGGTTAGAGTTTGAACGGGATGTGTTATGCACCGAGGCACGCTTGTTGGCCTTGTACAGCGTTTTTGACAATCCGTTGAGCAATCGTCGCAATGGCGTTCATCTGGGGCTGGCTGCTCAGATGTGCTCAGCAAGTTTTCAGCAAGTGATCCACGTCCTCACAGAAAGCTTGGAGGTTGGACCCTGAGATTCGGCGACATTGTGATTTTGAGCTGTTTGCCTCGCCGCTGAATGCAGCCGTCCAAAACGGCCCCGGGCCTACGAGAAAGGGAAGAAAGAACGGAGAAAGAAAGAGGCGAGATCGGGAATAAAAGGGACAGAACGGAGGGACTCCGAAGTTGCCTCCCTTCCCCACCCGCCCACACCCCCGCCCTTTGAAGCCCTTTTCTGGGATTGTGGGGCTCCGTCTCTGCTCAGGGCGCTTCTCAAGCAAATGGCCTCACGTCGAGCGGCGGCCTCAAGCTCCCCGTGAGCCTCTCTCTCTGTGATCCCCTCTGTGATTCCCTGGCGCGCACGCTCCTCTCTCTCTGCTCCTCCCCCGTGCTCCTCCCCCTCCATGCTCCTCTGTCAAGGTGGCGTTTCGGTTCCATAGGACGCTGCGGGTGCAGAAGTTGGCTGTTTCTGTCCAGGGTGCAGCTTCAGCCAAACGCGTGCGCAAGGATCATATCCTTCTGTTATCGACTACCTGCCCGTGAATTCGGTTGTGTGCATCAATCCTCCGTTTACAGAGGCCAGGTCCTGGGTGATGCTACAACAGACGCGGAAATCAAGCCGCCTCACGCCGAAAACCAGCAGAGGGTTGGACATGGTTGGACATGGAGATGTGGTCCGCGCGAGTCGGTGCGAGTTATTTGCCTACGCCTCATCCCCATGTTCAAGCTACCTTCTTCGCCCCTGCCAGGCCTACCTCGCCGACGTCATGGCGCGTCTAGCCGAGCTGAAGTGGCTCGGACGAGCTAAGCATCCCGAAGTAGCAAGCCGCAGCAAAAGCGCGCATCCGCACACACACACACACAAAACTCCCGAAAACCCGAGGTGACCCATCAAACGCCCCATACTAAAGCCTCGAAGCCCGGATCCCAAGAATCCACCGAGACTCCGCTTCCGGCTTCGAATCGCTGTGCCGATCCTGGAGGTGTTTTTGACGATTGCAAAATCAGCTGGGAAGAGGTTTGGGACGTCGTTTGAGATATGTCGGGAAGTTGAATGAAGTTGAGCAGGGTTGCTTCAGGAAAGTCTGAGCGTGAGGATTCGTGCACCGGTTGGGGTTCAACTTACGTCTTTTTGCCTCAGCGCATTCCCCAGGTGGAAGTATTCCAACGCAAGTGAGGGGAAACTGCCCAGGAAAGCTTACAAAGCATGTTCGAGCCAACTCCACGCCCCAAGAAAAGCGTGGCAAAAAAAACATTTGATTCTAAACTCTTCCCAGTGCAGCCCGCCGAGTTGTGATTCTTTTGACAGGCACCTTGGCGGTCACGGCTTCAAAGTTCACTTCCCGTTCCGCCGTCGGGCCGCAAACGAGCTAGTATGAACATGTAGTTATTGCGCCCTCGAGTTCAGAAAACTTCGGAGTGAGGGTGGCTATAGGGGCTTGGGGGGGCTTGGGGAGGGGGTTTGAGCAGTTTGATGGGTTAGACGCTTAGACGGTCAGACATGTTGAAACACCGGCATCGGGAGTTGGCCCGATGGTTTCGAGTGTTGGGGCTTTGAGTTTATTTGAGAAGCCGCAGGCAGCTCCTCAAGACGTACTACGACGCCACGGCGGAGACTCCGGCGGACGTGCCGGCCTAAATCCTGGCACAACAGGCGGTGCTTAGCCTGGGATCGGCAGACAATGCATGAAGCCGCAGCAGGAGACAGCGCTTCGTGTCTTACACCGAGGTGTTGCATCCTACTCTCCTGTGGGAGGAGCACTGAGATTGAGCAACTGAGAGAGAGCAACTGAGAGAGCCACTGAGAGAGTGCTGAGAGAGCACGGGGATGAAGCTGAAGTTGCGCCCCGCTCTGCGAGGACCCCCGGTGTCCACCGAGGCCCCGAGAGTCTGCTGTAAGGGTGCTGGAATGGACTGTGCGTTAAACTTCCTCAAGCTCCACCAAATATGGCCGCCTGAGGAATGAAACGCCCTCTCAGCTTGGAGCCTTTGCAGGCTCAGCAAGCTGCGGGACCTTCAGCCACGTGACCCACGTGAAGACGAAACCGAAGATCATTCGGGCGCCGCCGAATGGAGTGGTCATCTTCGATTTTCGGAAGTCGCGAGTTTTGGGCTATGTCGGCTATGTGTCTTTGTGGAGTTCAGGCTGCTGCTGCCGTAAATTCGTGCCATTGCAAGTCAACAGCAATGTACTTCTGACCAGGCCGTGCGCATGGCTTGGTGCATGCTGAGCCCCATGGACATGCAAGCCGCACTCGAAGAGAAGGCCAAGGGGGCCCTGCCGAAGCTGCGCTTGCCCAAAGTCGAGTGTATTGTCCCCGGCAAGGGTTGTGCATGTTGATCATAGGCGTCTGCAAGGATGACAAGACCTTGCTTGCAATGCACGTTACATGAGTACAAGTAGGAGGGTAAGGAGGAAGCCGAGGGAGTGGGATCGTCAAGATTAAAAGAAGTAAGATACATAGTGCATATTTCGTGTAACCATTTAGATGAGGAAGGGTGTAGGGTTTTAGGGCATAAGCGTAGGGCTTTCTTGCCAAAGGCCCCATCGTCGTAACTGTCGGCACTCCTTGGAATGCCTTCGTCGAAGGCTCAAAAGTGACGACAGTTACGAGGATGGCGAGCCTCAGCCCCACCTAAACCTCAAGCCGTAAAGGCAAGACCCTACTAGCCTGAGCACTGAACCGCAAAACCGTGGAAGCCGCATATCTTAAAGTAACGCCTAAGTCGTGATCTTCAAAAACCCCAAGCCGGAAGCCCTAGTCGCCTAGACCGTGAGATACACACCTTAACCCTAACTAAACCCAAGAAAACGGGCGCGGTGCACAGCCGATGATGGATTCGTAACTGCTGTTTACCTGGCATGAGGCCGCGATCATTCTGTGTGACGGGGAGCGCCCCCCCGCACGTGACCAGGGCTCTCCCAGAAGAGGAGAGGTGCAGAAGAACGTAGAGCATCTACGATGAGATAATGCGCCCCAGTCTAGACCCCAAAAAGCGTTGAGGCCACTCATTGCCTGGCATGTGCCATTAAATCATTATCGTGTGACTTTGTGTGCTGGCGCAAGCGCGTTGGCATTGCTCTCCCCGCAGCGCCCACCCTCGGTTCCCAGCTGAGATGTGAGTTGGGCTATGTTGGGCTGTATCAAATCTTCACCCAACCTGGTCCTCCTGAGCACACTACAGTAATGACAGGGCCAGACATCCTTGTCCAGACATCAGCCAAGCATCTCCAGTTTGCGTGGAACATAGAAATAGCACTCCTCCTCGCCCCTCCCTCAATCGCCGTGCGCGAGCGCGGACTCCCGGTTGATCGAACCAGGTGTGTGCAGCTCCCTGTCTTCCTCATATTGGAAACTTCATTTTCAGAAGTCATCGGGGGTAGAATCGGTACTGCAGCATCGCCCAGGTCATGGTGAAAGGGCAGCGGTGGAAAGTTCTGGAGAGGGATGGCGTCATGGCAAGAGAAGGTCCCGAGGACAGCCAGTCAGCTTGCATGGATTTGCAATGCACCGTTTGTGTTTGTTTTCACATGCCTGATATCTTGAAAGAGCCTGCAGGAGTACTGCCGCAAGCTTCCTGAAGTCCTTCCTGCAGGGGCCGTCGGCAGCTCGGTCCATGGATGGCTCGTCAGTGCTTGTCATCCCCTCCACACATGAGGTCGTAGAAGAGCAGGAGTTGAAGGGCAATCGGCTGCGCTTCGTACGGCTTTCTGGCCGAGGGCCATACACCGGATGGGTGCCTTGGAGCGGAATTCGTCGGACCTCCATAGTTGACACTGTGCGCCAATGTGCGCCACTGTGCGCCACTGCACGCGCCCCGTTCAGGTAGATGTCAGGGAGGACAACACCGAGCTTCTGACACGAGTGGAGAAGAAGGCGGGTGCGGCTGGGGCTGCCCCAGTGCAGGCAGAAGATGACTTGGATGGAACATCCAAGAGGAAGAAGGGCAGCGAGAAGTGGAGAGCGCCACCGGTCGAGCCGGTTGCGCCTGCGCCAGTCAACTCTTCCTACCCACGCCCTGGGCGCTTCTGGAAGGTCGTTGGGGCTCCGAAGGATGGCCTGACAGTATGGCAGGGGGTCTCTGAATCGTCCCCGATCCTGCCGGGGACCTTGCCGCAGGGTGCGGTGGTGGAAGAGGTGCAGGTGGTAGGAAATCGCTTGAGCTTCACGGACTTCTCCATGAGGGGCCCACCGAGTGGCTGGGTGAACATCCGTGAGAGCGGTCGGGACATGATCGTGGTGGACATGGAGGGTCTGTCGACTCTGAACATCGCTGAGGCTTTGAAGGAGAGTGCAGGCTTGACCTTCCCGCAAATGCCACAGCCGGTGCAGGCCACGCGTGAGTCTCGTGAGGAGGCGCCCCTGTCCGGCTGGGCGAAGCTGTCAGAGATGTATCAGAAGCCATTGGAGAAGCAGAGGATGGACTTAGCTGCTGCAGCAGCGGAGACGGACTCAGCCAAGCGGAGAACGCGCCGGCGCCGGCAAACATCGGTGAAAGAGATCCCACCTTTGGAGGAGCTGGCTCATGCCTCGGAGGAGATGCTGGTGGACATGCTTGGCTTTCCGGAGGAGGAGGCGAAGCATTTCGCCATGATGAACGAGGAGAGCAAAAACCGGGTGATCACGGAGTGCCGGGCTTTGATCGACATGTCGCCTTTGGAGCGGCAGATGGCCTTCGAGAAACTGCGGAAGGCCTGGCCGCGCGGCCCCTTCCCAAGCTTTGCCAAGCCCACGGAAAACCTTCCCAGCGTCAACACCAACCTGCTCCCTCCTGGCACATGTTTCCCCATCAAGCGCCCGCCCAAGACCTCGAGCGCGCCCTCCAATCTGGTGTCCGCTTTGGATGGGAAGCCCGGGACCTTCTTCGCCGCCGAGCCCTACACCAACACTGCGGAACAGAAGCAGGCGCTGCAGGCCCTTGCCCAGAAGGTGGCTGCGCTCCCGGCGCAGGAGGTGGCCGCAGAGCCCTCCGTGGCTGCCGAGAGGCCGAAACCGACAGAGAAAGCAAATGAAGCAACATGAGGTTCTAAATGGATCTAAGTGGTTCTAGCCCACTCCCCAATGCTCGCCTTGTGCCTGGGTGCTAGGATGGACTTCTGTCGCCTGCCAGCGACAAAAGTCGATTCTGCCACTTGGATGGCAGTGCGAAAGTCATGCAAGGGTCAGCGGGTACCCTGGGTACCCTGTCTTCAAGTTCAAAAGTCCGGAGCCGACATGAATGTCCCCACATCAGGAAAAGCTTGCGCAGAATGTGATGGCAAAGACAAAGCTGAGCGGTGCCGATGTGGCCCTGTACTTGGCCGAGGAAGCGTGTGACAATCATGCTGGTCACATCCATAGGCCGAAATGTGTACGCATGTACATATTCATACAAAAAGGTATGAGTATATGCACATAACATGTATATGAAGATGCCCGTATGCATATGTTCGATACGTTAGCGTGCAGGAGATGAGGAAGCGACCGCTGGTGATGGATGCTGGCCCAGGACCTAAGCTCAAGGCTGCTGGCCTCTCCGAGGACCCCGGAGACATGGGCGTCAAATGTATTCGTGTCCGTGTTTTGTAGCTGATCGCGGAACAGGCAGACTTCCGCGGCGAGCGCGCGAAGGCGTTTTTGAGAATCTGAGAGGGTTGGGAAGAGGGTTGCTGAGAGGGTTGGGAAATGTTGAGAAGGAGAGAGAGGGTGGAATCCGGGTGGAAGGATGCATGGGGCCCCTGGCTAGGTCCTCCGAGACTCTGCTTCTCAGCTGGGCAACGTGGACCTCCTGTCGCTCTCCAAGCCAAATTTGGTTCTGGACCTCCAGTATAGTTTCTGAAGCTTTGCTGGGCATGTCACACCTGCTGGCTGGTGCAGGACACCCACAAAGACTACTTGAAAGCTGGAGCAGATATTTGTTGCGTGGAACTCAGAATTTTGTGTCACCGTTGCGAAATGCTGGATGCAAAAGAGGAGCGTGGTCTGTCGGCCTTTTGGTTCTTCATGCTGGGTGCAGTGGGCTAAACTGCCTCTCTTCATGCGGGATGGGCTAGAAGGAGTCTACAGCTTTTCCCGCGCAGAGCCAGTTAATCGTCTGATTCTGTTTGACCTTGACGTGTCAACATACATCTTGCACAGAAACGTCAACTCTGCACCTCCACCGTTCCGACAATGTGCCATTGACATTGACATGACCTGCTCCCCAATGTGCAATAAACGTAACAAGTATCGTCCCATCGACAAACATTCCTTCAAAACCATATGACGGTGTGAATCCTTTCCAGAAGCTTCGTGCGGAGCGTTGTGTTTGCGAATTGGGGCAAGACCCCCGCTCTTTGCAAGCTGTGCAAAGCTTGCTTCAACCATATGAGTTTTTTCCGAATTCATCGTGCGAACATTGTGCTGCGTGCGGGCTGCAGGCTGTCACTTTGCTCACTCGCTGCAGGCTGCCAAGAGCTGCAAGCTCAACCCAACAGAAACATGTGCCGATTCCGTTCAGCATTCTGTGGCCAGACCATCCATGCCTGCACGATAGGAGCGTCCATCTTACCAGTGCATCCGTGTGACCAGGCTATCCATGCTCAAACAATGTACCAGAAGTGAGCTTGCAAATATAGGCTTATTTTCGTATTGTGATGAGTGAAAGGCAGCACGAATATTATCATAATAAGCCCGTGTGAAAGGTGAACCAGAGATTTGATGAATGCGGCTCGTTGGAAAGGTTGGTCAGGGTCTTTATAGCGGTTGGGGTCCGAGAGCGGCTTGGAAACAGAGGTTGGGCTCAAGGTGTGATGGGCGAACAAGGCTGTGAGATGAAAGGAAAGGGCATCTCGCTCCGGTTTTCAAGTAGAACCGCTAGACTTGGACCCAAGTCGCCTTGGGCTTTGGCGGATGTGCTGTGGCAGTTCTAGGAGGCTAAAGAGGTCCATGAACTGCGTGATGAATGGGAGCCAGGATTGTTGGTACTCAAAGCCCAGGGAGGTACGTCGCTCAGTCTAGTTCATCTGCGCTTTTGTTCGTCCGTTCTCTCTGCAAAAATCCCCCAAGAAGCAAAAAATTGAAACGCGCGTGCTTACTCACTTCGTTCTGTTCACACATCACGCCCTTTGAATGTGACTCTTATTCGGCTCCAAAGCAAAATTGTGCAACCTCGGACCACACCGGGGCGGCGCCCTCCCCTAACCACAAGGAAGGTCTGTGTGGAGCGCTGCCAGAGTTTGGCGTTTACAGGTCGCATTCGGCTGAACGCCATGGTCGTCTCACCAGCCATGCGTCCCACCTGCAATCCCCATGGAGCCTCGGCGAGGCAGTTTCGGTCTTTGACTTGCGCTGGGACGCATCTCCAATGCAGCACCTCGACTCTGCCAGCACTGGCCATGCCTGCTTCCTGTGCCGTGCAACAGGGATGAAATGTGGCACGCCACGGAAAGAAATGACCCTATCTCCTCGACGGTTGCAGCAGTGGTAAACCCATGCCTTACAAAACGTTGACCCCAGACCTTGCCACACGCCAGTCCATCACAGGTGTTTCTGATGACGCTTCGACATCTGCCCGTGCATTTCCCGGATCCATACAGGCCTCTTCAAGGGCGAGGCTGCCTTGCCGAACCCTTGCGGCTTCAGCTCAGGCTCAGCCCAGGCCAACTCAGGCCGATTGGATCGCGTCCAGCCACGCGACTTGCAAAGTTCCCTGAAGCCACACAGAGGCACGCCAGTACTGGAAGCGCCGTTGCCATCAGCTGGATGATCGTTGAGGTGCAATACAGCTTTAGTTTGGAGTCCTCGCTTCCGTGAGCCGGCCGGAGCTTTACTTCGGACTTTGCTTCTACGTTTTAACGTGCAAACTTTAAATTCAAAGCTTGCTTGCATAGCGGCGTTTTACTGGGAAAACAACCGATATTATCATGATTTCCTTTTTGAATCCTAGCGGCGCGGTTCTACGGGGAATCGACACTCCCACCTGCTTTTGTTAGGACTTCGACCTGACGCAGTTGGAAACCACATTCAGCCTAAGCCAAATGAGGCACTGCTGCACTCACACCCACGCGAACAAGTCGAAGAATTGAGTTTGCATCTGTTGTGCCACGACACGTGTACATAGTAGCGTGAGACAGTAGATATCGCCGGGCAGTTGCTCCTCCTCTGCCCATCAGCAGCCCCGGACACTGCTCGCACATCTGATCGCACGCTTGCACATGCATGCTTGAGGGAGCCGGGCCGGCCCAGCGGGGTGTAGTACGCGCTAAGAGGTGTCCATGGCGGGTATCCAGGGGAGGTTTTCATCTTGGTTTAGGTACAAGCGGCCCAAGGCAGACTGCACGGGGTGTCCCAGGTAGGGTTCCAGGAAAAGTCTTGGAGGGGTTTCGGGGGGCGGTCTTGGGCGGGTCGTTGGCGTGCCTTTTGGTCCTCCAGGTGGTTTGAGCAGCACCTCGGAGGGGGTGCATCTGGTTGGGGAGGGAGGACAGAAACCAGACCCTGGTGAGCTTGTTCTAAAGGCGAACTGTTGATTGATGCAATGTCATGCACATTGCGGTGACCTCCCGCAAGCTTCCGTGGCCACAGTGCAGCGCTCTGCGAGCGAAAGCAAGCTCGCACAGCTGCTATTAGGTTCTGGATAACTTGGAGGAGTCCGGGTTGAGCTTCAGGGCCCCAGAAATCATCCGTTGCCGAGGCACGAACACCTTGAATGCAAATGCCCTGGCTGTGGACTTAGCTGGCTTTGCTTCCGCGTGTGTCTTCGTGTGTGGTTTCTGAAGATCGAAATCGCGAGGCTCAAAGGGACTTCAAGACTTCGAAGTTTGTGACAGAGATGAACAAGACAGCTGCCATTCTGGCCAAGCGTGCAGCAGCTGCCGCTTACCCTGATGAATCGTCGGAGCTGGCTTCGCACATGCTTTCCTAAAGGGCACACTGGACTCCATAGCCCCATGCCCAAACAGGGTTTGGATTTGAGACCTGCTGGGAACCAAGGAGATCACCAAACAGGACCCCAGGAAGCCTCGATTGGTGGCGGGCCTGATTGGCCCCAACAGCAACCTCCTGCTAGGTGCGCCGGTGGAATATTCATGTGTGCATCCAAGACAGTTCATGGGTTTAGGTTGCATGGGACTACGGCTCAGGGTGGATGGCATAGGGTGGAACTGGTTTCGTTTCTTCGTCCAGGTGCCAACCGCACGCGCAGCGTCAGCTTCGACGACTTGGTCGAAGCCTACAGTGAGCAGATCAAAGGCCATGGCAAGACCTCACTGGTTTTACCAGTTCAGTGCAGTGCAGCAACAGCAGTTGACAGGGTCGCAATATCTTGCGCCTGAGATCACCCTTGATATCAGGCTTGGCCGAAGGCGGCGTGGACCTCCTGGCGCTGGAAGCGGTCGCGGATGCGGTGAGCGCCAAAGCTGCCATCTATGCTGCGGGCGACGTCTACCGGCAGCTGAAGCAGCGTGTGCCGCCGATGCTGATCCATGCCGTTGTGGACTCTGCCACGGGGCGCACGCCGGGAGGCCAAGGCTTGGATGCCTTCTACGTGAGCGTGAAGCACGCCAAGCCTTTGATCGTGGGCCTCGTCGCAAGCGAAAGCAACGAGAAGGTCTTGGGCGCCTATCAGGCCCTCGGCAAGGTGGCCCAGAGCTTCACGGGGATGAGGCTCGGCTCGGAGGGCCAGGCTCCCAACAGCCTGAGCGCCGACGCGACAAGTGCGACAAAAGGTAGCCTCCCAAACCTGCTGGGCGTCTCCGGCAGCGGCTTGCCCACCCATGTCAGCGCCTTGGCGCAGCTGCAGCTCTCCGGGGTCCCACGGGCCCTTCCGGAAGCTGTCAAGGCCATGATGCTGTCGGGGCGTGACGTCCACACTGTCACGGGCTTCAGCCTCGTCGGCCAGCGGGGCAGCACCCGAGCATCAGATGGCTTCAAGGCTCTGGTGGACGACTACAAGGCAAAGAAAGACCCGGCGTGCTTGAGCAAAGCCGTGGACGTTTGTGCCCAGGACGCTGAAAAGGGTGCAGACATCCTGGACGTTTGTGTGGATGGCATCGCCAACGATGGTAGCAACCGCGGAAGCAAGGCGGTCTTTGGCAAGTTCGTCGAGATGTGCGACACGGACGAGCGAATCTCCAAAGCACCCCTGATGCTCTGCTCCTCAGAGTGGAAGTGCCTGCGGGAAGGTCTCTGCAGTGTCCAGGGCCGCAGCATCGTAGCTTGGCTGCGAACCCAACAGAATCCAACACCGCCCACCAGTCAACCACAGAAAGCCTTCCCCTGTTGCAAAATGTTTAATCATGAGGGTGTGTTTCTCAGTAGGGGGTCCAAGTGGGCAGTCGGTGGAAGGTCAATGAAACTCATGTCACTGGTGCAATCGCATTGATGTGCCTCCCTCTAAGCTTTTGCTCACCCTATTCTTATGGAGAAGTACTGTGACAAAAGTTGTCGGGACCACATGCTGCTTCTTCGAGAAATGGGTGGCGCGCAGATCCAGCCAGATGTCGTTCTGTGAAAGAAGACAACAGTCTGCCCGGACCTGCGCGGCGCTGATTAGGAGGAGGGGGCAGTTGAGACCAGACAGGTCTCATCAAGCCGCTTCGGGTCAAGATGAGAAAGTTTGCCCTCTGTTCTATGATTCTGTGCCAGAAAATGGTTTTCGCACATCGTGTTTGGAACATGTTTTCAACGTTTTGGACAAAGCACCCCCGAAAGCAACATGCAAGTGCTTTCGGTTTTTCGGTACCAACGAGCCCGCTATCGTGCGTGTTACTAGTGTATGGGCGTATCACGTGCTGGCCAGAGCCATTCTGGTAGCACGGACGCACTCATCCGGTAGGATGTCGAAACCCAAGCGCAAATAACCTTAGTGCGATGAACACGCGTCAGTGCGCATGTGAAGAACAACCACAACAATAAACAAGAGTGCCCATCAATGCATAGTTTTGTACTTTCGGGCTCGCGATGCTGAATTCGGAGACGCAAATGTGTGCAGATGCAACTCCGTAAGGTGAACGCCATTTGTTTGATGGTCGGCGAGGAGGAGTTTCTTCGCATTGCCAAGGATCTTTTGGGCAAAGTTGTGGGGGCATGGGGGCCGATTGGGGGCACGTTTGCGAGCATGTGCTCGGTGACTCCTTCACTCCTTGAGAGCGGGGCCCTGACTGCAGGAATGCCTAAAGCATGGTGCGGCCGTGGTCGTCATGGCCATTAGCGAAGAGGGCCGCTGCGTTACGTCCAAGGTGCCTTTCTCTGCCTTTCTTGCCCGGGTAAGATGTAGTTGAGGTTTGTTCGCACGAGTTGACCCTTCTGAAATCAGGACAAGGTGGCAGTTCTTCAGAAGAGCTACCGTCTTCTGCGGCAGAAGTTAGACTTCCCTCCCGAGGAGATCGGGCAGAATGCTGGTTAGAAGTTGGGGTCGGACGGCGAAACCGTTCCCGGTGTGTGCTCGGCAGGACATCATCCTGGATTGTCACCTGCAGAGCTTGCGACCCGATGAGCATCCAGCTGTTCCGCCCCCGGATCAGCTTCTTTCCATGATCCTCCAGAGCAGGCGTTCATGAACTGCGCTCCCTTGACGAGGATGTGATCTCGGCCATTGCGGAGGTGCGGCGGACGTGCCCACATGCCAGCGTGGCCGCGGGCATCAGCAACCTGAGTGCTGCCTTCGGACGGCTCAGCAAGCTGCGGGAGGTGCGCGCGGCACAGAATCATACGCTGTCATACGCAGTCGCTTGTGAACCTGATTTGCCCCTGGTATCGTCTTGGAAACAGATGTGAACAGCCTCGCTGCGCCGGAATGTAGGCCTTGCACACCGTCTTCCTGCAGCACGCCATCCCGAAAGGACTGGGCCTGGTGATCTCCCGTGTGCTACGTTTTGCACAGCGATGCGCTTCGCTTGCATGTGCATGTGCATGTGCTCAGCTTGGATCGCCCGGAGGCCTGAACGTGGCCCTGGCGGACGCTGGCAACCTTCCCCTCTACTGTGACCTGGACAAGGAGACGCGTCAGCGCTGCGAAGACGCCGCTTGGCCTTGCAGTGCAGATTGGAAGTGCCCATCCCCCCTGTGCCGTGCTCTGCCTGCGCTCAGCCTGTGCTCAGCCTGCGCTCTTTGCTTGTGGGCAGCTTGGGGTCCACGTATGCTGGTGCCCACGGAGGTCATCCTGAACAGCGGCAAAGACGAAGCTGTGCTGAAGAGCTTCATGGGCTTCCTGAGCTTCCGAAGCGGCGCCACCGTGTGCCTCCCGCTCCAGGCTAGGGCCAGCAAAAAAGTGAGGACCATTAGGAGAGAGCCCACGGGAGAGCCCACGGAAAATGGAAGATCGTGGAGACCTGCGCAGCCATTTGCACTCCAGGCGACGGTTCCGAAGGACACCTCTGGCCAGGAGGCCCCAGGAACGTCGGAAACATCCATGTGAAGCATCGAACCACTTGGTGGAGAGACGCGGAGCATGAGACGCGTTCTGAAACCCGAAGGCCTGGTGGGACCTGCCGGAGTGCAAGGCCGCGGCCAAGGAGGCTCAGAAGGAGTACCTGGAGAAGCGCGGCGCGATGGCGACGTGCGCCCTGCAGTGGCAGCGCTGTCTGATGCAACCAGTATCGATGGCAATCGATATCTCTAGCTATATGTGCTACTCGTACTTGAGTTTTTTCGTTTCCTTCAGCACGGATTTATCGGGAGGCCTGCTCTCCAGAAGGCTTACTTCCAGTCCATGAAGCCTGCCCATGTGGCTGTTTCGGGAAAGGCACAGCAGGGTACAGTGCATGACAGTGCATGGCACAGGCCAGTCCCACTTGAGAAGGGAAGATGGCAGGTGTCTCCAGACACGGGTTGCGCTCGACCAGACCCCTGCCGCGTGACCGGCAGCGGTGGTACTGGCGCCCTTCAGCCAGAGCCCCGATGGATCCCATCCTGAGATGGGTAGGTAAAACTGAGCGCGCACAGGTAACATGTAGAAGTCCTGCTGCGCACTTCACTAGCAGATCAGATCTGCGCATGATATAATCCTGCATGGCGTTGCGCGCGGGCGTCTCCCTACATGTGACTACATGTGCGGGTCCTCAGGCAGCAGGTTTCCACAGCGCTGGCTTCTGCCACCCCAGTAAGTGCGAGCAACCTTCTTGCACAGCTCAACCTCTCGCTGGCGCAGAAGGCGCGCCTCGCAGAATGTGAGAGCTCTCTGCGGCGCATTTGCGAGCCTGCTGATTGCAGGTGCTTTTGCTTGACGGCCCCGAGGGTCCTGGCCAACAGCTTGCCGAAATCAAGGACGAGGTGCGGTCAATGGTCGGATCGAAGTGCAAGCAGCCGAGAGCAGCTCTGCGAGCGCTGAGGCTTCCTTCCGAGGATCTCGGTTCCCGGCATCCGCCAAGGGCAACCTGAACTTGCTGTCCATCACGAAGCCCGATGCGGTCCCGAAGTTGCACTCAGATGCGAAGGATGGGTAGAAGGCGCTCACACTCCAAACGTGCCCCACATGCGCCCCTGAAGAGTTTGAAGAGGCTCGCAGACTCTCTGAACACGTCTGTGTACGTCGTGCATTTTGAGAAGCGCTTGTTTCTTCCCCAAGGTTCTCGGCGCCCATCGGGCTCTCTTGAAGGCCGGCGCAGATGTCATCAGGACGCTGCTGCGTTTGGACACGAACGCGGCACAGTCACACGGCAGTTCAGCTGCGCCGCTTTAGGACGAACACCTTCTATGGCGACGCCCTCTGCCAGAAGTACTATGGCACCGAGGTCGGTGGGGGGCCATTCAGACAGAAGGTTGCACATGATATTGTCAGCTCACCAAGAAACGCGAGCCGCGACGCGGCGCACTGCGACGCAATGCGACGCACCGCGCGGCGCAGGCTGCAGCGTACGAGCTCAACAAGGCCGCTGCCGGTCTGGCCAAGCAGGCCGTCGCCGAGGCGTAAGGGGGAAGGGACTTTCTGCAGTTCGTCACAACTGTCACAACTCTCTCTTTGTGCCTTTGTGTGTGCCCTTTTCTCTTAGAACGACTTGACCAGGCGGTTAGCCAGAGCCCTCAGCAGCTCAAGTTCGTGGCGGGTGTGCTCGGCCCGTCCGTGGGAGGCATCTCAGGCGCGGCCGTTTTGTATTGGACGCTCTTTCGGCCTTGCGGAGAAAAAGCCATGTCGCTGTTTGGGGCTTCGCGGTTTAAAACAGTGCCTTAGCTATCTTCCTTGCGACAGGGTGTGCGTCGCATGCGTGCTGGGAGTTGGTTCATAGGCATTCGTGCAGCCGCCACCTGGGACCAGCTGGTGCAGTCCTACAGGCCGCAGGCCACCTCGTAGTTGTAGTGGGTTGTGGTCGTGCACTTTGATCAAGATTTACAATGAGGCTGAGAATCACAAAACACACAGCCCGTTTCTTGTTGGAGCCTTTGATATCCCACATCAGCACTCATTGCGAAAAACGCCCCGTGTGCACGCACTGTGCGAGCATCCGCAGCACCGTCGGGTGGCATTTGTCCCGAAGTGTTGATAAGACCTTTCGGCATATCTGAGGTTGCACACGAAAGTCATTATAAAGTCATGAGAAGAATCACGAGTGCATGATTGGCAGCAGCATCGGAGTTCGCATTCCAAGCCGAGCGCCGCGAGGTTCAGGGGCTTGTCGACGGGGGCGTGCACATGCTCATGCTGGACATGGTCTCGGACACGCTCAACGCCAAGGAGCCTTCGAAAGACGACATCCTACTGGTAAGCCTTTCAGTAGCGTACAGAGCAAGAAAGTGCAAGAAGGTGCAAGAAGGTGCAGAAGGTCCAAGAAAAAAGCACACTTCAAGAACTCCAGAGGCAGTTCTCGTTCCTCACGCTTCAGGCCGCGGTGTACGCCATCGAGGAGCACTTCTCCATGAACCCGAAGGACCGCCTTCCGGTCGTCATCAACATCACGCTGAAGGACTTAGGGGGTTGGACAACGGTCAAAGGAGAGGTATGGAGAGTTGTGTTTTTTTGGTGGGGGGGGGGGCAGGGCTTTTGGGTTCAGGGCTCTCGAAAGAAGATGCGTGTGAGATGTGCGAGATCTGTGAAACGTGTGAAGTGCTCGCGAGCAGGTTTACTTTGCTGTCAGGAGGGGCGCACGGCTTCGGGCCAGACGTTGGAGGCCTGCCTGGCCAGCTTGGCGCATGCCCAGCCTTTTGCCTTCGGCGTGGCCGAGGAGAAGGCCCAGGCCTGGAGAGCCGAAAGGAGTCGGAGAGAGTCGGAGGGACCGCCTGAGAGAGCACATGTCACATCCGATTTGACAAAGCCTTTGGTTTTACCTTCAGCCTCATACCGCCCTCAATAGGAGGACTGTTTTGTCTAGCTTGTGAAGGGCATTGAGAACCCAATTGAAACGCTAAGCCAACCACCCGATAGCTTGAGGAGGTGAGCTAGGACCGCGCCTTGGCCCGTGCTTACGTCCAGGTGGTGCAGGAGGCAGCCCGCCAGTGCAGCTGCTGGGTGCATCTGTGCTGCTCTCAGGAAAGAGGGCCCAGACAATTGTGTCCCAATTGGCCCAAACCTCCCCGACCTAAACCTTGGACGCCTGAAGCGTGCCTGACCCCACAGTACTACAAGACGCTTCAAGACGCTTCTGCTCAGGATTGGAAACGACGTCTCCGCGGCGGTCGGCTGCTTGAACCTGGTGTCGCCTTCGGGATCGCAGCCTCAGGCCCGACTTTGCATCCGAGTCGCTTTTTTTGCTGACGAAAGCCTGTGCGAGGCTGCAAGGCCGGCTCTTTGCGCTAGCAGGAACACGCAAACCCACACTCTAACCAAAGGGGGTCTCTGCGTCCGGAGTCCGGAACCCGAACTCCGCCTCGATCTAATCCCATCCCATCTAATCCCCCTGTCCAAAAGGCTTCTAGATGTGCGGGGTGCGTGTCAGGATGTGCAGAGCCTGGCGAGCAAGCTGGCCCAGGCCGGCTTTCTCCGAGAAGACTTGCAGGGGGGCAGGAATCCGTCGGGCTTCTCGACGATGTTTTTGATGCACTTACTGTGGGAATTCTCCTCTCCTACCCAGTGGTCCTACACATGCGACAGGGGGAATGTGGGGGTCCGCAGCGTCACGCCCTCCATCCGCACCGTCAGCACCCTTTTGAGAGGTGGCACCGCGGAAGCTGCCAGCACCCACTCCACCGGCTCTCAAGCTGAGCGGCCTGGAGGCCGATCGCGGGAAGGGTTTCTGTGTGCTGCTTGCAGAGCTCATCATGCCATTGGGGCGGATTTTTTGGTGACCCCCGCACCACCGGCACCACCCAACGAAGTCAAGGTCATGGCTGCACGCCCAGAGGATGGCTTGAAGCTGGCAGGTCAGCGTTGCCACGTCCAGGCGCGCTTTCTGCGTAAAGTTTCGGGGTTCGCTTGGGGCAAATTCGGGGTGTCGGGGTCGGCTCCAGAAGACGGGGAACTCCGAGAAAAGAACATGAAGGCATGCTCAACTCTAAAGCGTGCTGTCAGGGCTCCCATCGCTTCAAGGGCCTCATGCAGGCTTACAAGTGCGCATTGCAAGAGATTCAATGGGACAAAGCCTATGCCAACTCTAGCACACGCGGCTGCAAGGAATGTAAGTGCTTTGTGTGAGGTACAGCAAGGAAGATGATATCTGGGAGGCGGCAGTTGACGTTGCAGTCCAGCAGATTGAAGACGAGGCCTTGTAGTGTAGTTCGTGTAGTTGGTGTAGTAAGTTGATGTAGTTCAGCGCAGCTGAGCCGCATGGACGGACAGTAGCATAGATCAGTGGATAACCATCTGCTCAGGCCGATTTGTTGGACGTGAATCTGGACCTGCCAGACTTCGACAGCAAAGTTGCCATGGGCAAGTTTGTAAGGAGGTGTGCTGTACATTCACAGGCTTGGCAAGTCGCCTGCGATGCGAAGTGCATTTGCTAAGTGCTTCGCCATGTGCGTCCGACCTGCAGGTCTCCAAGCTTCCTCTCATCATCAGCTCAATGAGTTGGGATGTGATTGCAGAGGGCCTCAAAAGTACGCAGGCGCTGCGTCGGCTAAGCCGTGGGAAGGTTTCATGTTGCTGCAGCATCCCATTGTGGCCAGGGGAAGTGCATTGTCAACGGCATTTCCATGGCCAGCAGCGAGGAAGAGTTTGTGCGAGTCGCCGCAGAGTGCAGGCGGAGCATAGCTGCAACTCCTGTATGCCATCTCACTTGTCAAACTATGCCGCTGCAGGCGGTTCGGGGCTGCGATTGTTGTGCTTGCGATGGCAAGGGTAGCGCCGACACGTTGCTTTCGCCTCTATCGCATGCAACTTGCCCTTGACTTGATGGTGTCGGTGACATGGTCTGGCAGGCAGACGGCGAGTTCCCCAACTATCAGGAAAAAGTGACCTCGTGCCAGCGAGCGTACCATCTGCTGCGATCTAAGCTGGACTTCCCAGCGGAGGACGGAGTCAAGCAGCGCGTGCAGCTTGCACCTCAATGTCACGTTGAGCTTCTGGAGTGCAGGACATCATTTTCGACTGTCTTGTCACGCCATTGGGCGCCGCTCTAAGACCATGAGCAGTACAACAAATTGCATCATGGAAGCTGTGGCAGAGCTTGGGTGGGTGGCAATGCTTGGTGCTCAATGTTCAAGTGCTCTTTTTTGATGAAGGCTCCCACGGCATCCGGGCCTCGCCGAAAGACTTCATTGACGCCGTGGCAGAAGTGAAGCGGACGTGCCCGGGTGCCAGCTTCATCGCGGGGGCCCGGGGCCGAGATATCTTTCGATTCACCACCCTCACCAAAATGTGAATGCCAGTATACCATATGTGTAGACACATGCAGAATGAGCAAGAGTGAGGATTCTAAGGTTGAAGATAATTTTGCATTCTTCAATGCTTGAAAGTCGACCGCGTCCAAATGTTTGAAGTGCAAGCGTCCAGATTTTGCAATGCGAAACATGCGGTATCCTATGGGCATCATTCGGGGTATCGCTCAAGTAGGATAAATGAAGTTACGTGTAGACCTCCATATTCTTGCCCTGACGTTGCCTTAGGCCAAAGCAACATCCCCAAGTACAAAGCTTGTCGCAGTATCATTTCTATGGCGACAAACCCATGAACATCGCGTGTCAGTGTGGCGAAGGTTCTCAACTCACATTGGATGATGTGTTTAGGGATCTCACGCTGAGCGTTCCTACGGGATTTCGTACTTTCGTAGGGAATTCGCTGGTTTTCTTTCATGGCTCTAAATTCAACTTGGTCATCGGTGGGAAGGGATCCGTGGTCGTTGAGGCTTTCAGGCCCCCCCGACCAAAGCTATCAACTTTCCCGGACCGCTGCATTTCTTGTGTCGCGCTGCTTGCTTGTGGGAAGAGGACAGATGCAGAATATGCCTTCCCGATGTGGTATGTTCCTTCTCATGTTGCGTGTGTGCACGTTCTCTACTTTTGCCCTTGTATCACTCCTGTCTTGTGTATGCTGTATCCTATGTATATACACACGCATGTGAACATGCTCACGCCACACGCAGTCCGGTTTTCCAAGCAAATTGCTTGTCAGGTCAGCAACCTGGGAGTTGCTTGCCGCAGTGCCGCCATGTTGCGCGAAGCCGTGGCCAGTACGCCGAGACCTTGGCACGACGTGTCAGAATCCGGGATGCTGTGCGGGGGCTTGCGCCGACGATTTACAAGGGGGGAGGGCATGCGGGGGCATGCAGAGGTTCCTGCAACAAGCGGTGCCGATGGGCCTGAACCTTGCGCTGGTGGAGCTTGGTCGCCTGCCACGTGTCGACAGCCTGGAGGAGACTGGCAAGCACCCTTGTGTGTGGAGAGCACGGAGAAGAGCAGTTTGCACAGAGAGATATTCTTCAGGAGCCCACTCGAAGCATGTGCTTGGATGTGATCACAAACCACGCCGTCGACGGCCAGCACATCTCCAGGACTTGCCACACATGTCCTGACATGTCCTCGATGAGGCACTGACAGACAAACCAGACCGGGCAGGTTCCTCAACTACGGGGCCTTCCTGTCCGGATCGTCCGCTGCGGAGGCTTCTCGGAGCCATTAGGGCGTCTCTTTGACGCCTCCCCTGGGCATGGCCGTTCAGTCCTTTTTCAAAAGTCCTGTCCGTTGTTTGTGCAGGAAGCCCAGAGGGCGAAGGCGAAGATCGCAAACACACTGCAGCCAAAGCTCTGCCCTTAAACATGTTTTCATATGTGTTGTTTGTTGGAGCACGCTTCTCCAATGCACGGATGCTCTCGCGGATGACCTCAATTTGCCTTTAAAAAAGTCCCTCCTTCTCAGGGACAAATCGGCCTTGGTGCTGGCCAAGCAGCGTGCACCGGAGCCTCTCAGACCGAGTCCACAGTTTACCCACCCTGTGGAGATTCTGGTGCAGGCGCGCAGCTTGGTATCGTGGAGAGAGCATGGGGGGGCGGGGGTGCTTTTGGCTTTGCAACTGACAGGCAACAGGCACAATCAGCTCGTCCATCTTCCAGACCTTTGGGAGCAAGGCACATGCGGCCGCAAACTACCACAGGCGGGTGGGGGGATGTGGGAGGGCCCCAGACAGCCTTCGCTGGGGCCTCTTGTGCTTGGCATGGTCTGTTGGCACGGTCTGTGCGCTTGAGGCTTAGTTCTGCCAGCACCATCAACAAGACGGTGCATTTCTCGTCAATCTCCGTCTACATGGGCCAGGGAGGTTCAGGACTCCTCTCAGCATGATTTCCCACTTCTTGTACATCTGGCATGTTCCGGGGCAGCCTCGCCTTGTGCTGTCATCTGCTGGCACGTTTGCACCATTTTGCACCGCAGGACCCATTACAGGTGCTAGCAGCCTGATGGATGGGTTGGCCTTGTGGGAGAGGCGGGAGCTGTCCGCGAGCTTCGATGGCGCGAGCTGTGTGTTTCTCTTCGTGTTGACTCAGGCACCAAGGCATCAACCAGTACTCCACAACTGTGCTCTGGGGTGCCATTGGAGAAATTGGTCTTCGAAAGGCCGGTTGTATGTTCTTGCTGCGGACCAGAGCAGCGCGCAAAGCAGAGGGCCGCATTGTAACTTGGGCTTCGCTGATGACGCAGGCCATCTATGGTTCCCGAGATGTGTTCGCGCAGTTTGACTTGGGACAGAAGCTCATTGGGCCTGCCGACACCGCAATGCTAGAGAAGCAGGCCGAGCCAGATGGAGCCATGTAGGGCATCCAAGTCAAGAGAAAACGCATTGGCGTGTGAAGAGCGTCGCCAGGTTTGTTGCAATCCTCAGACGTGGGATTTTGTGGGCCTGGCCTACCTGGACAACACGTGGCAGGATTCGCTGGGAGGCCTGCCCCAAGTCAGGCTAAGTTACTAGTTTATCTAGATTCCAGTACTCACATGGATGGGTACCTGAAGCAAAGCCGCGCAAGCCGCGAACTTTCGGTGCAGGCCGGGGTGGTGGTGGCCTCTCAAGCCGAAAGACTTTCCTGGACAATTGAGTGCAGCGCCAAGTCAGGGAGGGAATTGCACCGGGGCACGCTCATCTCAGCGTGCAAAGAAGAGAGACAGAGAGAGCTTTTCCGAGCGCTTCTGCTTTTGGATCTAAGGTGGAGGCCACTGTGACCCGCGCGAGCTCGGACTGCGCACCCTGCGCAGCATGCTGCGTCCCACTCTTCCGTAGAGGGAGCGGGTCCAAGAGCTGCAGGCTCTCTGACCCTTTCAAGGTCTTGCATGGGTCTTCACATGGGTCTTCCCCTCCCTCCTAACGGTTCCACTTTTTCCTCAATGGTGGATAAAGAAGGCCCCTCCCACCAAGAAGGTGTTGCACACGACAGGTTAAGGTCGCAATGGACAATCGGACTCACGTGCTCCCTCATAGCGACAGAGCTTTGAAAGTGCTGCTCTATCTCAGCGGAAAAAGAGATCCGCGTGTGAAGCTTGCCATTGAAGCCTGCGCATGTCCGAAGACGATTGATGAGCGATGCGATCGATGGGCGAATGCCAGCGAATGCTGTGGGCCCTGTGGGCCCTGTGGGCCCTGTGGGCCCTAAGCCCTCAGCCCGGGAGCCTCTCCTTACCTTCGACAAGGGCTTCGGTCGTGAAAAACTTCCAGTGACGAAACATTCAGGGACGAACTTTCGATTGCGAAGCTTGCCCTGACTCGGTTTATGGTCAGGATGCCATGCAGGGCTCTTTCCATTCTGTGACAAGCCGCCGGTGATGGCGAGACCGTGCTTTGGAAGCGGCTGAGTGATGTTGTGGAAGCGAGCCGCGAGCTGGCCACCTCCTGGAGGAAAGAAGGAAGATGTGAGCTGTGGGATGCGTGGGATGCGTGGGATGCGTGGGATGCGTGGGAGGTGTGGCTTCCATCTAGCCATGGACGGAATTCTAGTCCGGTCACGCGGCGACATCGCGAAGAGTGTGTGCAGGGTCCGGGGACTGCAGGCACTCGAAGCGGCGCGGTTCTGTAAGGATAACATTCGACTTAGCATCACGTAGCGCCGTCCAAAATTCGCAGCCAACGTGCACCTCAAATCTTCTATCTGCAGACGCCTGAACCCATGAAAAGATATACCATGCACTTCCGGTTCCCACCTCGTCCATATCAGTCCTGAGTGTAGCACGTTTGTGCGCCTCCTAACCTTGGCTGTTTAGCTTCATGCTTGCATGAGAGCCTGCTTGCGAGCCACTGGGTCTCGAGCTAGTCTGAAGATCAAGCCGCAACAGCGGGATGTAGCACAAGTTGCTTGAAAGCCAAAGGTTGAAAACAGGGTCTGAATGAACAGTCGCAGTAGCAGTAGTCGCGGCATCCGTAAGGACAGTAGCAATTGTGTGCGTTGTGTGGCGAATCGGATGGCAGGGTAGCAGCACGAAGAATAGGAAACACAGGAAGAATAGCAATGGTAGGAGACTCGTAGGAGATCAGTTTTCTGCGTGCGGGGCCATGGCGTTGGTGCTTCCACCTCCACGGTCAGGGTCTGGGTCCCTGTTTGTTGGGGGACTGTCCTGAACGTGCGCAAGGTTTGCGTGTGCAGGGTTCCTCAAGAATAGTTGTCCCTTGTGTCGGGAAATAAGAACATGTTCGGATCGTAGGGATTCAAGAGTTCAGCGTTCGGGATGCGGATCCCATTGCGAGGCGCCGTTGCCTTCGATACCCCTGCCTCCCGTTGGCGGGCAGTTTAGAAGATATTTGTGGTGTGTTGCAGGTCCGCTTGGGCGCTGTTATGGTGTTTTTTTTCTTCCTTGAGGAATCAAAAATCCTTAAACTCTAGCTTCATCAGCCTCAGAGTTGCGAATCCGAAAAGCTGTCCAGGGTGTCGGATTACCGGTCGAAGTCCCGATCTCAAGACCTTGTGTAAACCCTGGCCGACATGCACATGCATACTTGAAATCCATATCCCCCAACTCAATAACCTCATCCAATTTGCCAAGCAGCTCCTCATGATATGGATAGGAAATGAACGTCATGACTCAGAGAATCCTTTCCGAGAATTCTACCAATCTCAAGGCCGGGCAGCCTAAATCGTGTTTCAGAGCAGACTCTGCTGGCAACACCTTCCGCCGAGGCGCTACGGCAATGCTACAGCAAGGACCAAAACGGTTCGCAGCTCGTCCCACAAGGGGATTGCCGAGGTTCCACGGTTAGGCTTTCAGATGTGCAGTAGGGTTGAAAACCTGGTGTCTGTGGGCGTAGTTCTGCAAACGGTAAATGCTGGAAACTGGCGGTAGGTGGCTTTCGGCAGTCTCGTTTGGGAATATCGGATACGTAGTTGTTTTTCGGTCGCCCTCTCCGTGGATCCTAGTCAGTCATTGGGCTGCGTCGTCGGGCGTCCGAATCTGCTTGCGACGTCTGTGTAGAAGGCCATTGCTGCATTTAACCAATTAAGCCCTGGGGGTTCGTGTGAGATGAACAAAGAGTTTAGGGCTCAGGTTTTCAGAAGAATTCACATACCGTTTTTGCCCTGACAGGGCAAGCGGCGCCGGGACAAGTGCCGCTGCCGCCTGGACTGTTTCCTGGCTGCGTGGGGCAGACATGCTGTGCCTCCGCTACCCTCAGCTGCGCTTTGATCATGCCTCCTATAGGAGGCATAGGTGCCTTGTTGCGCAGTGCAACTCCTAAAGCGTATCCGCCTGCCAAGGATTGTCAACACAAGATTGCAGGACTGCCAGTCGCAGATTACGCCTTTGCTTGCGCAGGCAATGACCGCTGAGATGGCCACACTGCGCCGAGACATAGCCAACGTCCACGATGCCCTGAAGCATGTGCTGGCTGCAGGAGGCGATTGCGCGACTCAGCTTGGAGGCCCGGAGCCCTTGGACAGGGGTGTCCTGCAGTACTGCGATCCCATCCGAAGATGGGTAACAGAGCGCGTGCAGGAAACATGTAGAATGCCTGCTGCACACTTCAGTAGCACATCAGATCCGCGCATGATATAATAATCCTACATGGCGTTGCGCGCGGGCGTCGCCCTACACGTGCGCGTCCTCAGGCAGCAGGTTTCCACAGCGCTGGCTTCTGCCACCCCAGTGGGTGCCAGCAACCTTCTTGCGCAGCTCAACCTCTCGCTGGCGCAGAAGGCGCGCCGCTCTAAAGACAATGTTCTTTTCCTTTGATTCTCACGCTGCCCTCACCAGTAGGACTGTTGTATGTTTGTTGCGTTTTGGCGCCGCCCTCATAGGTTTGGGTTGGCATTGCTTGGAGAGGTCAATGGGGTTTCGTACCTAGCTGTTCAAGGGAATTGAGAACTTCATCGAGCCGCGACACCACCCGTTAGCTTGAGGAGGTGGGCTAGTCCCGCCCCTTGGCCCGTGCTTACGTCCAGGTGGTGCAGGAGGCAGCCCGCCAGGCTGGGTGCATCCGCGCTGCTCTCAGGAAAGAAGGCTTGAACCTGGTGTCACCTTCGGGATCGCAGCCTCAGGCCCTTGCATTTTGCTGACAAAGGAATGTGCAAGGCCAACTCTTTACGACAGGAAGCCGTAAACTCTAACACAAAGGGGGTCTCTGCGTCCGGAGTCCGGAACTCGAACTCCGCCTCTCATCCCATCTAGTCTAATTTTGCTGTCGAAGGGTTGTTGAACGGCACGTACAGCCCGGAGTTTTTTGCCGTGTCATGAGTTGGCGCAGAGCCTGGCGGGCCAGAATTCACGAGGTTTGGGGCTGTGTGTCGGTGCAGTCGCTGTTTCCGAGCTGCCGCACAAAGTGCTGACCACTTTCCGGGCCTTCTTAGCCGGCTTCGGAGATGTGCCGGGCTTCTCGACGATGTTTTTGATGCTCTGCTTTGCTTCCTTGCTGTAGGAATTCTCGTCTCCTACCCAGTAATCCTACACATGCGACAGCGGGAATGTGGCGGTCCGCAGAGTCACCTGGCATCACGCCCTCCACTTGCACCCTCAGCACCCTTTTGAGAGGTGGCACCGCGGAAGCTGCCGGCACCCACTCCACCGGCTCTCAAGCTGAGCGGCCTGGAGGCCGGCGGCGGGAAGGGTTTCTGTGTGCTGCTTGCAGCGCACATCATGCCACCGGGGTGGATTTTTTGTGCTCAGATTGATTTGAGTGTTCTTTTGTGTGGCAGGCACAGTACTCAGATTGATTTGTGTGTTCTTTTGTGTGGCAGGGGCAGTACTCAGATTGATTTGGGTGTTCTTTTTGTGTGGCAGTGAGGCTGTCACTGCCACGCAAACCCACACCCAAATCAATCTGAGTATTGTGCCAACTTGCCTTGGAAAGGCCTTGGAAAGGGTAGTAGCAATTTTTTCACGGCCCTTTGGACCAGCTTGAGAAGCCTTTGCCAAACCAGGAGACGAAGGAGACGCGTCGTCCCAAAGCCATATATGCCCAATCCAATCCAGGGATCTCACGACAAACTGTTCGGAATGCTCTGCCGCTACACACAGGGTGAGCTGCCTCATGCACCTTGGTGTGTTCATCGCTGAACCTCCCAGGCTCATAGGCCTCCTCTTCGGCCGAATCGGTCATGGCTCTGCCAGAGCGCAGCTGCCTGTAGAGTTGCGTCAGGCCCCCGGCCATGGCCCCGGCCATCATCCACATGGATGAACGTGCTCCTCACAACCACATTGCATGGGCCCCCTTCATCACACGCGTCAGCCGTGTCGGCTTTACCAGTGGAGCAAGTCGATGGGAGTTCAGAAGGGCAATGCTGGCAAGAGTCGAACGTCACAGCCGTCACAGTGCTGTCTACGTTGCTTTCTCTACATGCTGTACATTCTTGAGGAGCTCCGGGACAGCCAAAACAGTCGTCGGGGGAGTTGACCAGCAGGACATGGCGGCGACGACGAGACCGACGTTCTTGACTTCTCAAGTCCCTATAATCCTGCACTTGCTAGAGTGTATCGGGCCGAAATTCGAGCAGCCAACATGGCGCTTGACCCACCTCCACGGTGAGGGACCAGGGCATGCACAACAGATGCTAGACCGGTTTTACTAGCTGTTTCCATGATGTCTCGGCCCGCAGCTTTACAAGCGCCGGTCCGCTGCCGACTGGGCGCAGGCATGCCTCACCACTGGCAGCCCTGCTCTGCTCAACCGCCCCACCAAGGCTGCTCGACACTCCCAAGACGTCCAACAAACAGCCAAGACCACCGATCAAGTTAAACAATCCGAATGTCATGAGGATCCAATCCCCGAACGGTCGGAAAAGGCGTCAATTTGGAACACAGGAAAGCGTCAATTTGGAACACGGGAAAGCGTCAATTTGGAACACAAGGGCACAAGAGAATGAACAGTCGAGAAGGCAGGATCAAGCACCGCACCTGGGTGTTGACACGTCTAAACACACGCGCGTTCCAAAATGACGCCCTTTTTCGGGCGCGTTCCAAAATGATACTTTTGTGTTCGCGCGTTCCAAAATGACACCGCTTTGGTCGGGGGTTCGCACCTTGAAAATGATCCTTCTTCGTAGACAAGAGAGAAGGCTGCGCAAGCCGTGTGCGAACACAATGTGCTAGTGATGGGTTTCAAAAAGGTCAATACGCTTTGAAGCCAGCTGGCAAGGCACCACAACTTAACAAAGCAGGGGAGTTGGGGGGCTTAGACCCATCGTAGGCAATAGAGATGTCGGTGCAAACCATTTGCAAACACAATGCTCGCATGATGGGTTTCAAAACAAGGTTCAGACGCTTTGCGGCAAGCTTGGCACGGGGATGAAAGTTCAAGAAGCAGGGGGCGCGGTGCGAAGGATCAGCATCCTGTTGTTCATCTCTAGGGCAGCGGCGGGCGGACCCGACGTAGGGGGACGGGGGAGTTGACGGGTTTGGCCCTGTCTTCTCTCCGCGGTTCCAGGTCTGTTGGCTGCGATCGGGAGCGCCCGACGTAGAGGGGGCAGGGAGCTGGATGGGCATGGCCGCGTCCTCCTCCCGTGGTCTCCGTTATCATGGAGCTCTGCCAGGGCCTGGGCGGACCTCTTGAAATTATGAAGAGGTCGTTCATTCTTGGACAACTGGCACAGTCAATCAGCTGAGTCTTGTTAAAGTACAGTGGATAGCCAGCAGCCGAGCTGCTCATGCTGACAGTTGTTCATGTGATTTCGGCGTTGGCCCTCTGCTACATTCTGCTACGCCGCTTGTTGCAGGGGTCCAACTATGTGATATATGATGATATATGTATGTTTTGCCGCGTGTTTGCGGTCCAATGCGGGCACATGGCCCCAGTTTGTCTTACAGATGCCTTTGGCACAGACGCCGTGTGTGTGTGTGTGTGTGTGTGTGTGCTGCCCTTTCTGATGGACCTTCTATATCGTTAAAAGTAGTGGTTTTGGCCGATTTGACAAGGGGGGGCCTTGGAACTCAGTTCTTCTCATTCCGTATTCTTGGGATGTTAGGTGAAGCCTGACGGAAGGATGGTCATGCACCATGGGTTTTTTAAGGGGCGCGGCAAATCTGGATCTTGCTATGAGGAGTCTGAAGAGAGAGTTTCGGAGTCCCTTTTTTGGGATGCATTTGTTGTGAATATCCTTTGTAAGAGGGTCTTTGTGGATGGGAGCCTTACGTATGTTCTGCCAGCGTGCACCTACGTGAAAGGCTGTGAAGGGCAGGGCGAAGCAAGCGCAATGGTGCAATGAATTGTTTTCTGACGTGATAGCTGCCAGCGGATGGCGGCCTAAGAATCCGCAGGCCCCTCCGCTCCAGCGTCTACCACAAGACGGACACCCCAAACGAGCTGTGGGGTTTAGGGAGTAGAGGAGGTCTCCGGAGAGCCTCCTCGTCTTTTCAACTCTTTACTCCCTTGGCTTCACTGCATACCATCGTAAAATTTGAAATATACCTCGAAGGCTCGTGCGCATGCTGTAGTTTGTTGATGTGGTTTGGGGTGTCCGTCTTGTGGTAGACCCTGGGGCCCTGGGGCTGAGGATTCTTAGGCTGCCATCCACTGGCAGCGTTTCGGCAGGGATGTTGGCGCTTTGTTTGTGCGCTGGCCATCATGTGCAGGAGGTTGTCGGTAGACCCTGGGGTCTGCGGATTCCCAGGAAGCCAGTAGCCACAAGCGCTTTCCTGGGATGTTGCGTGGATGTTTTGTTTGTTCTCATCACATGAAACAATTTTTCGGCCGGGGGAATATTCAATATTACGGGGGGAGGGGGGGGGGACGACGTTCCATATCGGCGGCACTGCATTTCCCGAAGCTACACGGGCGTGGACGATGTTTGTTTGTGTATGAGATGGTACGTGTGAATATATGTGTCTATGTCTATGTTTATGTAGTGTGAGTCCATGTATATGTATGTGCACTCCAAAGAGTGCTAGATGTGCAAGATGTTTTTTTCGGCCACTGTGGACAGCCCTTCCTGTGGAGAGGATGTTCCCACTGCCCATGTCGCAGCGATGTGTGGGGAGAGGCACCAGAGCTCAGTCCGTTAGGGTTAATAACTTCCTCTTGCAGTCCTCATTTCATCTTACAAGCATATTACGCTGAAACCCCATTGTATTACTATGTACCCAAAGCCCTAATATGGGGTTGCCTCTCAATCAAGGCGCGGGATGTTTAGGGAGAGATTTTGGCTTGCACCCGGCTGAGGCCACTGATTCTTGCTGGCTCACTGCCGGGTGAGTCCCGGATGGGCCTGGCAAGGACCTTACTGCACCCTTGTTTGCTTCTTCTGTGCGAGACCCTAATACAAGACGCCTTGCCAGGTGCAGACCCAGATCAAGCGACATCGATGGCATCCAAAGCTGCTGAAGAGCTCCGACGCACTGCTCCTGTCGGTTGGCTGGAGGCGTTTCCAGATCCTTGGCTTGAGAGTCGCACCAGATTCCTAGACACTCTGGACCGCATGGCCACCAGCTCCTCCGCCTCCAAGTTCCTTTAAACCCCTCCAGGAAGCTGAGAAGCCTCCTCAAGCTATCGAGAAGCCATCTGAGGACTGTGCCGTGCTTCTCCTTGGAAGACCAGTGGGAAAAGCGTCAGATACTCAGGACCGCGGTCTCTTAGAGAGCTTGTTCAGGGCCCGATCTTCTGAAGCGAAAGCTTGTTCGATATTGCTGAAAGGCCGCTCCCGTCCAGTACCACATAGGCTCGAGTCTCCAGTTCGCGTGCGCTGCTGAGGCATGCGCTACTTGAAATACACCTTGGAGCATGCCCGCTGTACCATGACCAGCTGCGTGCTCAGCATTGCTCAGCCAATCATCAGACATCCCTGCTCAATAAGTCGTTTTTAATCCATAGAATTCAGACTGGCCTTATGGTTTGTACGTGCTTCCAATCTTGGGCTTTGGTGAACCGAAATTCCAAGCTCTGCACTGCTTTGTCGGCTGCCACGCTATGGACCTATGGTTTCACCCAATACGGGAATCCTTGCGTGCAGGGCACTGCTCGATTGTGAGATGCGCGAGCGAATACAGTGCCCAGTTTGGAATAATTTAGAGGGTCTCAATGCTGGAAAAGATTCCGCCTTGTCGTCATAAGCTTCAACACCCATGCAACGCTAGACAACCTCCAGGGTTCAAAGTCCTCTAAATTCCCAAGGAGAGCGAGATACGGACATACACACATATACATACGCAGACGTAGAAACAGATGCTACTCCCCCCTTCCCAACGCCCACGGATTCCTTTCTTTTAGGATAGCTAGGACTTCCGACAGTCGAGTCAAGTCTTCATCCTGGCTCACGAAGGCGCCGGGGGGGAAGTTGCTCCTGAAGATTAAGATAGCAGATGCGTCGGGCCATCGCAGCTTCCGAGTGTGTGGCAACGCCCTCCTTTGGGCTTCCGTGGCTTGTCCATCAGGTCTACGTCCTCGGCTTCCGGTCCAATGGCGACTTGGTGGCCTGCGGTGCTACTGCACCCCATCATGGAGAAGCCCCAGTTGCTCACAGCTCTTTCTCCACCTGACTGCCATCAGAGTTGCGCTGAGACCCTCGCTGTTTCGTTCAAGCTCAACCCTGAGTCTGTAGTTCCTGATGGCCCGTCGAATCTGCATCCTTTTCAAGCTCGTGCTGAAGGTTCGCGCTATGAGGCCTTGGGGCCATGGCTGCCTTTATGGGATGTTATGGGACGTTACGGGACTAACCGAACTGCGGGTAAGCTGAGCCGTTCACCTCCTGGCGCTGCGCAGAGCCCCTGCACGGGTGCCAAAGTCCCGCACGGCTTGTAGGACAGCTCAGGATTTAGCCTCCCAAAGCTTTTGAGGATGCAGATCTGTTTCAAAAAGGTTTGGAGCCAGAAACGCGTGGGTTCAAGCCAAGCGCAGGGTAGAGATGCAGGCGGCGCAGTCAAATAAAGTTGCATCGACAGTGACATGCTCCGCGCCCTTCCCGGTCGCAGCCAAGCTTTTCCACGCTAGATGTTGAGCGGAGGTCGAGGGGCTTATCTCAGGTGTTTGCGAGGATCATACAATGATACATCAGGGCATAAGCATTTTGCATGGGCTGCGCAAGAACCCGGAGGGTTTCATGACATCTGAGTTGGAGATGTAAAGACTTTGGGTCTACTTGTTTACATAGGTGGTCAAGGGGTTGTAGGGCTAGTAAACAGACTCCACTGCGGTGGTGATCTTTTTGGAGTTTCTTATTGGTGTCAGACTCACACTTGTTACAAGTGGCCGCGCCTTCACAAGGGAAAGGGCCCTTCACTGGCACCGCGCCTTTGGCCCAGCATGGGCGCATCATGCTGCGGGGCCCGAGACAAGGCGGTCTATCACACGGTTGTGCCGCTAGATCCTGATTGGTCAGCAAAGCGTACTGTTGCCTTCAGATCCAATTCGAGTGCCAATGGAAGGAAGACCTCGAGGCCTGTGGCTTACGGCTGAAGGGCCAACACCTGGGCCTAATCCGCTCCTCCCATTAATAACCCGGAAATCCCCGATTCTGCAGTCCACGAAACTTAGGGGGGCTCTCTACATTACAAGGAGAAACTATTCAGGAAAACAGCCCGAAGCTGTGAGCCTTCAAACCTCAGCCCTCAAAACCACGAGATAAGAACCCTCCCATCAATATTTCGAATGTTTTCCCTGAAATTCATTTTTGATATTTGGCGGCGGAGGGGGAGGGGGTCCGTTATTATTAGGGGAGCGGATTGCACACACCAAGGCATCTCAGCTGCTCCTCAGCGCTGAGCTTGCAGCTCATGTTGCCTCGGAGGTCGTTGCCAGTTGGATTCTTCAATGGCTCAAGTGCCCAGCAAGCTGTCAGCCAAGCGCAGGTTGAGTTGAAAGCCGCGTTGGAGGAGAAGAAGTTCGAGATATCAAATTTGCAATCAGTGCTGGCAGAGCAGACAAAGGCCGGACACTTGTGCTCCCAGTGGAACGCACAAGCCATGCTGCAGATATTGTCTCGAAGTTCAAGGCGTTGAAAGAAGCAAAAAACCAGCTTAATCTTTTCAAGGTGGGCTTTTTTTGAGATTTGTATGTGACGGGAAAAGACATGGGATGGTCAGAAAGGCCGAGCTGTCTGGTAACTGTCCAGAGGCTGCCAAAGCGGGACGCCCAGCAGGGCCAGTCTTTCTGAATTGCAGCAGATTTTGCTTGTGGACGTCGTGGTCCCCCTGGTTAGTTTGGATGCTGTACTTTTCAGGAGGATGTCGCAAAGTGTGGAACGGCGTCGTGCTCTGAGTACTGGGCCGTCATTTGTGGTGCTACTGGGGGCCATTGTCCAGCACAGTCTAGGGATGGAAGCCGCTTCAGTAGGTCTGGCAGAACTTCCACGGCCAAGCGCCCAGATGGCAATTGCGTGGGTGCTCGCATGTATGGCTTTGGCCACATGGCTTTGAACAACGACTGCTCATGGCTCTAGATTAGGATGCCTTGCTGGAAGAGTGGTCGCAACTCCAGGCGCCAGAAGCTCAGACCACTGCACAAGGCTTATCGTAAAGCTTGCGCTTGAGAGTGGGATGTTGGTGCGGTTTGGAACGCGACCAAACGGTCAACAAACGGATTCAAATCAGGGCAAGTACAAACCGGTGTAGTTTCATTCCAGGTCGCTTCCGTCCATGCAGAGATGGGCAATTGAAAAGGCACGTTTTTTCAGCAGTTCAGATTCACTTGCGGGGCACGGCCCGTGTGCTACTCAGGAACTTCACTCTGTCCGTGGGAAATCAGATCAGGTTCGAAAGGCACGGACTTCATTCCACCAGTAATCCTTTCAAATGTGCAATTTTCAAGGCAAAAGTCCGCGAACTACGACTTCGCTTTCACCCAGACAAAAACCATACTCCGGAGGCCAATCACGACAGTTTCGACTTGAGCTCACTTGCTTTGATGCTTGTCGTGCATCTGATTCGCTGGCTCCTGCTGGCTCCAGGCGGCAGACATGTTTCGGCATGTGCAGAGGCTGCTGCCTTGGCAGACTTGAGTTCGAAGGGTCAGCTGGATGCAGTGGATGCTCTTTCGCCCCTGCAGTTTTATGGTTCTTAGCTGCGGCTGCCCTCTCTCTACCTTGCAATGCTGCGAGTGCGCACGGCGCACTTCTGCTACGAAGGCATCCTCGTCGAGGCACCTGGACCGATGATGGATTGCAGTCTCCTGTTTCGTGGCTTCGCCCTGGCAGGATGACCCGAACGAGCAAGTCATCACCATTCAAGACTGCATCAGGCCGCAACAAGTGCAATCTGTAAGGGTGCCCCTGCATGTATTCCTACGCAGGATGCATCCTCGGGAAGCTCTAGGAGCCGCCGCCTGGGCATGCCTTTGCTGCGATGGCACCTGAAAAGTTTTTGAGCAGTGGGCTCGTGGAATGGCAAAGGTTGTCACATTCGACAGGCGCGCTGTCAGCTTAGAAATTGAGGCGGGCGAAGTGGGAGCAAAGCGCTGTTTGCGCAATCTTTCGCGGATTCTTGCAAAAGTGTGTGGCCCACACCATTACCGCCGCTTCTACTCTTGCTTCTACTTCTGCTAATCACTTTCCTCTTACTGCTAAACCCCCCCGGCGTGTTGGACACTTGGGGGCTATGCGAAGCAAAACAGCCATCAAATAGACGGCGAAATTGGCCGCTACTATGGGATGATGGGTTGGGCGGGGCGATGGGGCGATTGGACGATGGGACGATGGGGCGATGGGGCGATGGGGGCGGGGGATAGGCTCGGGGGCAAAGGAAAAGGATGTGGGGCGGGGCGATAGGACGATGCAATGGGGCGATGGGCCGATGGGGGGCTGGGATAAAGCCGAGGATGGGGCAATGAAAGGATGCGGGGCGATAGGGCGATGGGACGATGGGGCTATATATGGGGCAAGGGCGGGATGTGTGGTCGAGGCGATGGGACGATGGGATAAGGCCGAAGATGGGGCGATGGGGCGATGGGACGATGGGATAAGGGCGAGGGTGGGGCGATGGGGCGATGGGGTGATGGCGATGGGGCGATGAGGCGATCGGCAATGGGCCAACGGGACCATGGGGGCGGGGGCTATGTGGCCGAGGATGGGGGCGGCCCGGGCGACAAGACAAGACTGTGGTGCTGGCGCTGGGGCGGTGGGACGATCGGGGTGGGGATGGGGCGATGGGACGAAGGGGGGGGGTGCTAAGGCGATGAGGTGTGGGCTACGTTGTGGATGGGGACAGGCCTCTGCCGCTCATTCTTTGAACGCTCTCCGCCATGGCCTGGTGTGATTTGTTTTTTGT